TGCAGCATGAAGTCAGAATGCCCCGGGGGTGAAATTACAAACCATCTGTACGCCATTTTCACTTTTGTGGAGTTTTTAACTTCACGAAAAAGATTTCAGAAAGAATCCTCCCATTGACCCAAATGCATTTTATACAAAATTGATCGTCTCCATTGAAAAAAAAGATTGCTTGATAGCAAAGACGATGAGTCAGCATATTGGTCTCGCCTACCTGATCAAAAACATTGGCCTGAAGATGTTAATACTCGACTGACATTTGGAGAAGCGGAAATTAGACACCTGTCAATCAGACTGCAACTAAATGCAAGAGAAATGATTCATGGATTTCCGTGAATACATTCTCGAAAAGACATATCCAGAAAAACTGTTGCATTTGATGCGGACTCTGAATACCACTCCCATTTCTTCAAAGAGCCGAGGTGGCGCAGCAGTTAGAGTGCAGTACTGCAGGCCACTTTAGCTGACTCTGTTCAGCAGGTCAGCGGTTCAAATCTCACCGGCTCAAGGTTGACTCAGCCTTCCATCCTTCCGGGGTAGGTAAAATGAGGACCCAGATTGTTGGGGGCAATGTAAATATATATATACATTGCTTACTGGTGTACACCGCTTAGAGAGTGCTTGCACTTAAAGTGGTATATAAGTCTCATAAATAAATAAATAAATAAATAAATAAGTGAATGTGAATGTGGGTTTTCGCAAAGGAATCTAATTGCTACCCCAACAAGAGCTTCGCTGAAGACTAAGACAATTTCAGCACTTTTGTTCATCAAACATGTCGGACCACCTCTGAGAATTTTTGATCCTGCAAAATACGTTGATCTGTGGTTACTCAGAGAACGACATTCGGCCATAGATACTAACAGCAAGGAAAGGAGGAGAAGATTTGCCGGATGAGAATTGGACAAAACTTTGGAATTTACTATGAACATTTGCCTTAAATGGTCAACACGACGTAAAAAAGATGCTGAGACTCTAGAAAGAGTGCAGAGAAGAGCAACAAAGATGATCAGGGGACTGGAGGCTAAAACATAGAAGGGTTGCTGGAATTGCGTATGTCTAGTTTAATGAAGAGAAGGACGAGGTGGGCACAGGATAGCAGTCTCCCAGTATCTCAGGGGCTGCCCCAAAGAAGAGGGAGTCAAGCTATTCTCCAAAGCGCCTGAAGGCAGGACAAGAAGCAACGGATGGAAAATAATCAAGGAGAGAAGCAACCTGGAACTAAGGAGAAACTTCCTGACAGTTAGAACAATTGACCAGTGGAACAACCTGCCTCCAGAATTGGTGAATGCGCCAACACTGGAAGTTTTTAAGAAGAGACTGGACAGCCATTTGTCTGAAATGGTATAGGGCAGGAGTAGGCAACCTTGGCTCTTTTAATGACTCCTGGACTTCAACTCCCAGAATTCCTGAGCCAGCATGGGGGAACTATGGCCCCTTCATGACTCGTGGACTTCAACTCCCAGAATTCCTGAGCCAGCCTGGCTCAGCTTGGAAACCTCTCCCTTTCCCCTCAGCATGGCTGGCTCAGGAATTCTGGGAGTTGAAGTCCACAAGTCCTAAAAGAGCCAAGGTTGCCTACCCCTGGTACAGGGTTTCCTGCCTGAGCAGGGGGTTGGACTAGATGACCTCCAAGGTCCCTTCCAACATCATCATCATTATTATTATCAAGGGTGTCAAATTGCCGGCCCGTGGGCTGGATGCATCCTAGCGAAACCGCGCCCCCCCCCATTGCTGGCAATGGCAAAAAGGTCGCGCCACGTCACGTGACATGGCGAGTTTGACACCCCGGCCTTAAACCCAATAAATTAAATTTACGTTAAGAACCGAATATATAATTTTTGTAATTATATAAATAAATATATAAATAAAATTATACGAATAAAAGATTAACAAGATGTGAGTTCCGGCACCTTTTTTTTTTTTTTTTTTACAAAAAAAAAGCACTGGATGCAGTTAACACACCTGTGGCGTGAAAGGGTGTAAAAATGGTGTAAAACTGACTGAACGAATGTCTCACTGAACAGCAGAAAAAAAGGGGGCTCAATTGTGATTGTTAAGTCGAGGACTACTTGTATCATAAAACGGCACAAGCTTTGTAACTCTCTGGGGTGGCTCGACCGACACAACATGCACAAAAGGGAAGACTTTCGGCCACTGGTGAGGCCGAGCTGCTGCCTCTTGGCCATCTTGGTCAGTCAGCCGATGGGCTCCTTCTTCCCTCAGAGGGGCCCGACAAAGCCTGCCGCTCAGGGGGAAAACACGCCTGGCCCTTTGGCCTTGCAGGAGCCCAGGAGGACTGAGAAGGCGGCTCGGGAAGGGGGGATTAAGGACACCCCTGACCCGCCATCCCCGACCCTCAGCGGCCGAGGTGCTGCTGCCCTCAGGCCCCAACCGACCCTCCACCCGCCAACGGGGAGCGAGCAGCGCCCGAGGGAAACTTCCCTGAGGGGGAAAAGGCCTTCGCAGGCCGCCAGGAGGGAGCCCGTCTCGCCTTGCGCGCCTGAGGCTGAGGGAAGGACCAGCCGGTCCTGCGACCCTCGGGGCACTGGGAGCCCTGTTTGCCCCCTCTCCGCGCCTTGGAGGGACGGCGACCCTGCAAGAACCCTGACCCCCACCCCAGGTCCAAAACGCCGCAAGGACCCAGTGGGCGCTTCCTATGCCGGCCGCCCCAGGAGGCTCCCCTCGCCACACCCTCCCGGCGTTGCGCACCGGCCGCTTGTTCGCTCTCCCCACGCCAGGTGAAGGCGAGGGCGCTGGGTCTGGCCGGCGGGATGGAGTGGGGGAGAGAGAAAGGGGAGAGAGAAGCATGGGATTCAGCCGGTTCGCACCACTTCGGCAGAAACCGGTAGCTAATTTTTTGTTGCCCAGGCCCAGAGTGGACTTCCGGAAGCGGCATCCATGCAGAGAACTGGTTGTTCGCCTATTTGAATCCCATCCCTGGAGAGAAGGAATCGGCCATCCATCCACCCCGCAGCCAAAGGAGCGCCGGGAACAGCTGGAGGGGACCGGCCCGCGTCCGGCTTCCCCGCGGCATTGGATCCACCTGCGCTGTTTTCTGCCCGCGGCCTTCCTTCCTTCACCGGCCACGTTTCTTGGCTATTTCCCCCCCCCCCCCGCAAAGGCTGCTTTGATCTGTTGCCTGAAGGATTCCCGTTCTGAAAACCCCAAACCTCCCGCCTGGGAGATTTACGGGCTTTGGCCGCTTCTGCAGCAATTGAGGTTTTCCCTGTTTTTTTTCCCTTCCTTCCTTCCTAATACTCCCTAATTAGCCTCCCTAATTAGCCTGGGAGGAGGTTTCCAAGTACTTCCAGCAGGCCTACCAGATTCTATAAGTAACAGCTTTGTTCCCTAGAATGCCTTCTGTCTGGTAAACTCGCAAGATTCGGTTTTTCTCACCATGTACATGTATACATCCGAATTACAGATAGATAGATAGATAGATAGATTGTGAGAGAGATGATAGATAAGAGATATAGATATATAGGGCTGCAAGATTATTGGTGGGGCAATATTGGAAGAAAAACTTATTGCCTACTTTGGAAGAATGGATACTTAAAGTGTCTAATTTAGCAGAAATGGCGAAAATCTCCGCTTATTTGAAGGATCATTCACAAGAAAGATATATTATGGTTTGGAGAAGATGGATTGATTATATTCAGAAGAAGTATGAAACTGAAAAGTATTATCTTGCTTTTGAATAGATTTTAGATAATTATTAATAGTATTAATGGTATTATTATTTTTGTCTTAATTTGTTAATATTTGTTTTGAGAAGGAGTTAAAGTGTGTTATGGTTTTGATTGATAGTTTAGTTGGTTTATGTTAGCTAGAATATGTTTGTTTATTTGTTACCGTGTAATCAGCTCTGGGAAGTGGGGGAGAGGGGGAGGTGATGGGTGGGTTTATATTGTAATTTGTAAAACTTTTAATAATAATAATAAAAAAGAGATATAGATATATATAGATAGATGGATGATAGATAGACACAGATATAGATAGATAGATTAGATAGATGTGTGAGAGATGATAGACAGACAGATATAGATAGATGCAGTTCTATTCTATTCTGCATTCAGTTCTATTCTATTCTATTCTATTCTATTCCATTCCATTCTGCATTCTATTCTATTCCATTCTATTCTATTCTGCATTCACTTCTATTCTATTCTATTCTATTCTGCATTCAGTTCTATTTTATTCTGCATCCAATTCTATCCTATCCTATCCTATTTCTATATTCCATTCCATTCTAATCTACTCCTACTGTATTCTCTTCTTCTCTTCTCTAAGCACAGTGGAGCACAGGAACAAGGGAATAAAGGCAATTCATTTGCAAAAGGCAGAAAGCCTGCTTTCCCTCCTGCTTCCTTGGGGGCTGGGGAACCCCTTCTGGCCCCCCACGCCACACTCCAGCATGTACTGAAAGTCACAGAACGGCTAAGCAATCGAGATGTCACTCATCGCAGTAGCCAACTGCCCTGTTAACCGTGGCTTAGCAAATAAACCACGATTGGGTGAGAGAGAGGTGGACTTCCAACTCCCAGAATCCTGTAAGCTGGAATTCTGGGAGTTGAAGACCATCTTTTTGACGTTACCAAAGTTGAGAAACATCCCACTGAAAACTTTGCTGGTCTCCCCCAACCCCACCAGCGTCCTAAAAGGTTTTTTTCCGGAGGGACAGAAAGACCCTTGGTGGTTTTGTGGGCTGCATCCTTCCAAACCTCTAAAAGGCGATCAAGTTTCTTCCTTCCCATCCGCCTTGCCTTCCCTTCTCCAGGTGGACGAACATTAGAATTGGACATGGACCGACTGGAGCGTTAAAAGTCGATCAGGCCAGGCCATCTTCCTGCTGTTCGGGGCCTCCCGCATCAAAAGCCTTCCTCCAGACGGAACAAGGAAACAAGAAAAGCTAGGTGGAGGTTTCCCATTTTATTTTCCAGCCTGTCTATTTTAAAAAGCATTTTACAAATAGATTCTTCTTACAATAGCGATAAATAGACTTTTTTTTTTATTTTTTATACACAGGTCACTGGAAACACCAATACGAGTCTTGGAGTTTAAATTAAACACAATGTTGAAACATTGTTAAGTTCATGGATTTTGTGCATCTTTTTTTTTTAAATAAAATTAAATAAAATTAAGCAACCAAAACGACCCAAAAAGAAAGGACGGATTTACCCAACAGACATGAGAGAGAGAGAGAGAGAAAGAGAGAAAGAAAGAAAAAGAGAAAGAAAAAGAGATAGAAAGAGAAAGAGAGAAAGAAAAAGAGAAAGAAAAAGAGACAGAAAGAGAGAGAAAAAAAAGAGAAAGAGACAGAGAAAGAAAGAAAAAGAGAGAAAGAGAGACAGAGACCCAGACATCACAGAATTAATATTTTCACATCACCAGAAGGATGTTTAAAATTAAATGTGGATGCCTGGGAATTGGAGGAACCCCTTTCCCTGATCCAGACACCTGTGGAGCCAGCCGGGTGTGTTGCCCACAAAGGTGTGGTGCCCCCCCCAAATCCTGCACAGCACGGGGGGGGGGCAGGCCAAGCACAGCACAGAGGGGGAGGCCTCTGCAGTTTAGAGCCCAGCCAGAGCCCGGCTGTGGGGTGAAGGGGGGCTGGTGGCCCACCTGCCCTGGACCAGCCTGAAAGTCACCCCAGGGCACCCACAGACCCAGCCGAACCCCGCCATTCCCTAACTGACCTGGGGCAAGATTGTCAAAGTTTCTTTGGGATGAACATCGGGGGAGAGACGGGGAACATCTCGGTCCCTCCCTCCTGCCAAAATTCCTTAGGATAGGAGGGACAATGGCTGCTGTGTGTGTGTCTGTGTGTGTGTGGTGGGGGGCAAAGTGGACAGGGAATGTGTGACAGGGAATGTGTGACAAGAGCGGAGGGCAGGAAAGAGTGCGCCAGCCGGGCAGGAGAGAGAGAGAGAGAGAAGGAGAAAGAGAAAGAGAGAGAGAGAAAGAGAAAGAAAGAGAGAGGAGGGAGGGAGAGAGAAAGAGAGAGAGAGAAAGAGAGAGGGAGGGAGGGAGGGAGGGAGGGAGAGAGAGAGAGAGAGAAAGAGAGATGCAGAAGGAGCCCTGGTGACAAGGCCAGTGGGAGACCCAAGACGGAGGGAGCTGATCCAGGCGTAATCCAGATGTTGCCCCATAAACGCCTCCATCCGTGGCCTCCACCGTGTGCTGAAACCCGGGTCCAGAAAACACGCAGCCGATGGAGATGCTCGACTTTCCGGGGGGGGGGGGAAGAAAACACAACTTGCAGGAGAGAGCTGCTCCTAGCCCAGCTATCCTCTTCCAAGGTGGCCCCTGGAAACAGGGGGGGCTACCGGCTTCTGCAATAGGGAAGCCAGGAAGAGGCCGATGGCTCTCTGCCCACCCCACCCCACCCGGAGGTGACGGCCCCCACAAAGGGACCTGGGGAGGGGAAACAGTTGGGAAACACACAGGCCATCTCCGTCTCCTTGTGATTGTCCAGCGTTTGACTCCACAGGCTGGAGGGATTGGGGGGGGGGCAATGGAATTGGGGAGGGGGCATCGTTGAGCACAGCTCATGGAAAAGGGGGTGGGAAATCAAGGCCCAGAGAGTCCTGGGTGGGCCCAGAGCAATGCCACTCCCGGCGTGCCGGGAAGCCACTGGATGTGGCCGGAGAGGAGAAGCAGCTGCATAAAATGGAGAGTTGAAGAAGCAGGTGTTGCTGGTCGGAGCGTCGTCTCGGAGAGAAAAATGGGGGCTGCTCCCGCGTTGCCTCAGCTTGTGCTTCTTTGTCGTGAGCTGTCAGAAGTGGGGGGGGGGGCAAAGGAAGGGTCACTCCCCAGGATGGCACCACGGAGGAGAAGGGAACCAGAAGGGATAGGGAGGAATGGATGTGTTGGGGCAGGGCCCCCGAACTGGGTCTTTTGAGGACTTGCCGGGGGCTCATGGGTGGGGGCCCCCCAGGGAAGATATCGGGGGGACACCAGGCCTGACCTGCTCAAGAGGCACATCCACGAGACCGGTGGGAGAGTTAGCAGCTCTGGAGGGGAGGGGGAAAAAAAGGAGAATTAAAACCGGTTCCTGGAGAGACCGATTCCCCTTCCCAGAACAGGACACTTCCTCCCCCAGTCCTTGTGGAGCCCTCACCAGGTGTGGGGGCTGTGGGTCCGAATGTTCCAGCTGGATCTGGATCTCGGGGCAAGGGGGGTCCGCGCGCTTCCTGGGGTCCGGCTGGGGGGAGTGCGAGGGGCCTGGAGGGGGAAGCACCAAAGCAACTGGGATTAAAACCAGCCCTCCCTCCCTTGTGAGCAAAGGGATCCCACACTGGGCAGAGTGTGTGTGTCTGTGTGTGTGTGTGTGAAGGCCAGCTCCTCCGGAGCACCCTTATGGGGGGCGCTGCAAGGAGGGGGCAGGGGGGGTACCTGGAGAGCTGCCCCCACTGGGGGTGCTGGTGCTGTCGTCCAGCCACGTGCTGTAGATGAAGGAATTGCGTTTGTGGGAAGGCGTGGGAGGGAAGTGGCTCTCCTGGGACAGAGAAAGCAGAGGGCGGCTTAGGAGTCACCCAGGCAAGAGAGAAAGGCTTTTCCCCTGCCAAGCTCCTAGTCCACAATGTTTAGAGCAGGGCCAGCCTTCGAGTGGGGAAGCCCTTCCACGTGGGCTGCAAGACCCCCTAAGAATCAGTGTCAAGGGCTGAAATAGTTGAGCCGTTTCCGGCCACGGAGCCCCCTTCTATGGCTGCCCAATGCTTACGATAGGAGACTTTCATTCACTGAACAAGCCAGGATTTCCAAACTGTGGCCTGTTGCTTGCTGTCTACCTTCAAAGGCACCTGGAGCCACCGGGAAACACTCTAAAAGCCAGTTTCATGCCTCTTTCTGAATTCCTTCCTGGCATCTGTGTACCAGCCCATCTCCCTTCATCCCCCCCCGCCCCCCACCCACCCTGGGTACCACCTCACCCCGCTGGTGTCATCCCGGCTGGCTTCGGCGTCCTCCACCATGCTGCCAAAGCTACTGGCGCTGGAGGAGGAGCGGGAGGATTCGTGTCCGGCTTCTGGCTTCGGCATCACCGGATCTGGCCTACAAGACGGTGGAGAAAGGTATTATTGTAGATCGTGATGCTAAAGAAACTATTTTAATGTTGAACCTTTTTACAGTGGCAAGGTTATTGGTTGGACAATATTGGAAGAAAGATTCTTTGCCTACTATAGAAGAATGGTTGCTTAAAGTTTCTAATTTAGCAGAAATGGCTAAAATTTCTGCTTATTTGAAGGATCATTCACAAGAAAGATACATCTCGGTGTGGAGAAGATGGATAAATTTTGTACAGAATAAATATGGGATTCGAAAGTATTATTTAGCTTTTGAATAACTTAAAAGTTTAAAATGGGAATTATTTATATTGTTAATTATGCTTTTGTTTGAAATTTTTCTTTTGTATTTGAGTTAAAGTATTTTAGGGATTTTATTATTTGTATAGTTGGATAAGTTTAGTTAGAATTTGTTTATTTTTTTTTAACCCTGTAATCAGCTCTGAACAAAAGTGCGTATAGTCCAAGCCATGGTTTTCCCAGTTGCAATGTATGGCTGTGAAAGTTGGACCATAAGAAAGGCTGAGCGCCAAAGAATTGAGGCCTTTGAACTATGGTGCTGGAGAAGACTCCTGCGAGTCCCTTGGACTGCAAGGCGTTCAAACCGGTCAGTCCTAGAAGAGATCAACCCCGACTGCTCTTTAGAAGGTCAGATCCTGAAGTTGAAACTCAAATACTTTGGCCACCTAATGAGAAGGAAGGACTCACTGGAGAAGGGCCTAATGCTGGGAAAGATGGAGGGCAAGAGAAGAAAGGGACGACAGAGAACGAGGTGGTTGGATGGAATCACTGAAGCAGGAGGTGTGAACTTAAATGGACTCCAGAAGATGGTAGAGGACAGGAAGACTTGGAGCAACGTGGTCCATGGGGTCGCGATGGGTCGGACACGACTTCGCAATCAACAACAACAAATCAGCTCTGGGAAGTAAGGGGGGGGAGGGTAAGGGCGGGGGGAGGATACTGTTTTGTATAAAAAAATTGTATAAAACTTTTCAATTAAAAAAAAAAAAAGATGGTGGAGAAAGAGGGCTAAGGGGCGGCCTGGAGTCAGAACCAAGGCCGGACTCAGCCAGCAGATGCCCGGGTGGTGATGGTGGGCCCCACTACCCACCTGTTCTTCGTGGTGGGCATCTCTGGGGAGCTCTGATTGGAGGAGTTTTCGGAGTGAGGCTCCTGGCCGGTGTGGTTGTCATCGGGCGTCTGCGCAGTGCCCGTCGGGCTCTCCCTGTGGGGCACACAGGTGGGGTTTCAGGATCAAGGCTGGGGCAGAGGGAGGCTGGGTGGGCGTAGGCACGGGCCCTTCCTCCAAAACCAGCTTCCTTCGAATTGCAATGGGCTCCAAGCCTGGGATGTCTCTGTTGTGGTTTTGGTGCACAATTGCGGCCTCTGGCCTCTGGCGCAAGAAATCCCAGGTGAGCCCGGGAAGCCAGCCAGGGGGAAAGCTGCCTGCAGCCTCCCCCCACCCCACCTTTTCTCCTGCACTTCCTGGATGTTCTCGATGCCGATGGCGCTGCTTCGCCGGGACCCAACTGGCCCGGATTTCTTCCGTGTCGGACTCTTCCCGGGAACAATGAGGGACTGCAAGAGAAGGGGAGAGGGAGGGGGTGTCATTAAGCAGAAAGGTGAAGCAGGGACAGGAGAGGCACTCCAAAGAATTGGGGAGTGGTCTCTAATTTGGGAAACCCTGCTCCAGAGCTGACCAGCAGGCACAAGCAAGCCGAGGGCGGGGGTTACGCGAGAAAGGCCCTCCCCATCTCAAGCTGCACTAACCACCATCGTTTATTCCAGACGTTGCCAATAATCTTTCCTAGCCAACCCCCCCCTTGGGAACTGCACCTGCTCGGGGTCCCTGAACAGCTACGGCATAGCCGTGGGTAGCCCCACGGCATCCAGGGCCAGACCCCGTTGGGGCAACCCAAATCTTTTGGGCAAAAAGTGCCTAGGATGCTCCAGAACAGAGTCTGCAAAACAGGCCGCCGAAGGGGTGCAAAGTCATACCTCCGCCCCCTCCTCAAAATACACCCCCCCCCGTGCAGCATGCCAAGGATTTAAAATGCTTCTCTGGAGAAGATGCCCCAGTGGTGGGGCAGAGGTAGAAGGGGAAGCAAGCGGACGGGGAGGGGCAGTTTAGAAAAATGGAGGCGTTGAGCCAGAGAAGACACCCCCTCCCCAGTGGGAAATGGGTCTGTCTTCCTCGCAAGCCTCCATCTTTCTTCTTTTTTTAAAAAAAAATCCTGCAGAAGGACAAGGACAAGGCTTGTTGGTTTCCCGCCCAAAGAAGCCGCATGCTATTGAACTCTGAACTTTGCGCGTTCCTCCGTGAATAGTCTCCAACACTGGAAGTTTTTAAGGAGAGACTGGACAGCCATTTGTCTGAAATGGTATAGGGTTTCCTGTCTGAGCAGGGGGTTGGACTAGATGATCTCCAAGGTCCCTTCCAACTTTACTATTGTATTATTATGGATCATCGCACAGTCAGCCAGATGTTCAGACTGGATTTGGCACTTTTGTCTACCTATCGAGGCCTTACCCAGGACCTGGGATAGGCAGATGTGGATGTTTTATGGTATTACAGATATCGTCGCAGGATGGAAGCAGTTCCTAGTAAGGCCGCCTTTTGCAATTGACTAATGGCGAATTTGTCAATGCCAATGGTGTTATTATTATTATTATTACTACTATTATGTCTATTGGCTCCCAACCCACCAGGAGAGACCACTCCTCAATCTTACGGGGAGCACCAGGCTGCCAGCGAGAATGAGAGACTTTGGAAGTACCCAATGGGATGGGAGGCCCAGCTTGGCTGGCTGGGGGAGGGGGGCGCTTCAAGGGCTCAGAAATAATAACCCCCCCTTTAACAGATCCCACCCCCGTTCATGCATGCATCCGAGGTCCGCCTGAAAAGGGGTCTGTGGCAAAGGTCACGTCTGCCCCCTTTGCATGGAACGTCTAACCGCCTTCCAGGCCAGCTTCCTTGGGATCCCGGCTTAACTGCAGATGCTGAGGGCTAGGGAGGAAGGAAGGCTTCCCGCCAGAGGGAGGGTCCAGGACCCCCCCCCCAGGACTCAAATAGAAAGGCCAAAAACACAAAGGAGCCCAGGGGGGCCTCTTCCAGTCAAATGCAAAGGAAACGCATTCCCAGCAATTTCCCAGGTTTAGTAAGGATGCCCCAGGGTGGAGGTGGGGGTGGGGTAGGAGGCTGTGTGGGGCATGCATGCAATGGGGTGGGAAAAGGGCAGTGGGGGGGGGGCTGGGGAAAAAAGAAAGAAAAAAAGAAAGAAAGAAAGAGCGGGAGAGAGAGAGAGAGAGAGAGAGAGAGAGGGAAAGAGAGAAAGAGAGGGAAAGAGAGGAAGAGAAAGAGATAGAAAGAGAGAAAGGGAAAGAGAGAGAGAAAGAGAGAGAGAGAAAGAGAGAGAGAGAAAGAGAGAGCTAGAAAGAGGGAAAGAGAGCGAGAGAGAGAAAGAGAGCGAGAGAAAGAGAGAAAGAGAGAGAGAGGGAAAGAGAGAGCTAGAGAGAGAGAGAGAGAGAGAGAAAGCAAGAGAAAGAGAGAGCGAGAGCAAGAGAGATGGAAAGAGAGAGAGAGAGAGAGAGGGAGAATATGAAGAAAAAGTCCAGCCACCTCTTCAATGGTTCCTATGCCTATCGCGCTGCCTCGGCGTCCGTACCTACTTGACGTTTTTCCGGGCACAAGCAATGACTGGCAAGCGGGCAGAGCGTGAAAAGGAGAGAAGGCAGAGGGAGAGAAGGGGGGGAACAAAGGAGGATGAGAAAGGGAGACAGAGAGAGAGAGAGAGAAAGAAGTCATGCGAACAAAATGGCGCTCAATTATCCACCAAGGGGCCAGCCTCCCGGAAGGGCCAAGGCAGCCAGCGGGCATGGAGGGGGCATGAGAAGGCAGAGGAAGCTGTTGGGGCTGTGCCTGGGATGGGATGGTGGGGGGGGGAGGGAAGCTGGGAGATGTTTGCCTGGGGTTAGGCAGCAGAAGCAATGCCCAAGATGGGGAGGGGGTCTGGATGCTGGGGCCTCTGCCACGCTCACTGCCTGCCCCCTCTTGTTACAGCAGCCCAGATGCTCTCTGGCATCCACCAGGCGCCCCCCCACCCCACCCCACCCCAGCAATCCTGGGGGAGGAGGCAGGAGAGGGTGGGAGACGGTCCCCTCTTTTAAGCTGGTTCCTGCCAACCACTTGGGGATGCTCAATGCTCCTCGCCATGAGGAAGGGGAGGTGGGGACGGGCAGCAGGGTGGGTGGGCTTCAGCCTACAAGACCACCCCTCCCTTCCAAGCCCTGCCCAATGAAGGGTCCCGCCCGCCCCTCTAGGCAGCCAACTCTCTCCCCTCCAGTCAAGGCTCCTATGTTGGGGCAAGGCTGCCACCCAATGGCCACACTGGGGCACTGCACCACCAAGGAGGTACCACTGGCCTCCTTGCCAGCGCCCAACGCCACCTCTGTTGTGGTGGGGGCCAAGCAAAGACGAAGGTCAATGCAGAAGGTGCTGGAAGGACTGGGGGGGGGCTCTGGAGGTGGGCAAGCGGGCACTGCAGGGGGAGGCCGGGAGCGGGGAGGGGCACTCACTAGGCCGCTGGCTTTGGTGATGTCAGGGCTGTGGTGCCCAAAGCTGCCACTTTGGCTGATGGTGACGGTGTTCTGCTTCTTGCTGCTGAGACCCACGGCGTCCATCGATTGGCTGCGGCTACGGATCACCCGCTGGAAGGGAAGGCCGGCCTGCCCTAAGCAACCCTTGCCCTCCCGGGGCCAAAGCGGGCAGCAGGACTCGGGGAGGGGGGGATGGCCACTCGCGGTCCAAGGAGCACAAACTCTGGGACGTCCACTGCCTACCCAGGGGAGGGGTCCCGCAAACACTCAAGAGAGGCTGCAGCCCCCCAGACCTGGGAGCGCGGGCTGGGGAGGACGGAGAAGGGTGCCAAGGGCTGGAGAGGCAGGAACCCACAAGATGACCCCAGGATCCCCGGCCGCGCTGCCCTCGCTCACCTTGAACGACTCGAAGAAGCTGCTGCTGCCCCCTCCGCCGTTCTCCATCTTCTCCTCCTCGCCCCCCAGGCCCATCATGGACTGGCTGTTCAGGTGCAGCTCTTCGTACAGGGTCTCCAGCAGGGCCGCCCGCGTGCGCTCCTGTCACGACATGAGACGGCGGCAGAGACTATGGGAGGGTCAGCCAGGCGGGGAGCGGGGCATGGAGGGAGGACTGGGGCGCCCCCGCTTGCAGCAGAGTCAGCCAGAGAGGCTCTGTGGCTAACACACGCACACACACACACACACCCCACACACACACGCCCATCCCGGAAACTCACTTCCAGTTTGGCAAACTTTTCTGCTTTGTAGCAGGCGTATTCGGCGTTGATCAGCTTGGTCAAAAGGAACACTTGGAAGTCTGGCCCCTGCAGGGAGAAATGGGGGGGGGGGATTTGCAAGGTTTGGTTTGGCTGGGTGACACCCCCACCCCACCCCAAGATTTAGCCCAGGATTCTGACCAGCAACAGGACTGCCTGACTGTCCTGTGACAGCCCCCAGACCCAGCTGAGCATGGCCTGCCCACCCAGGGTCTCTCGCCCCTTGGGGAAGCAGAGTGGGTGGGTGGGGTGGAGGGGGGTTGTGCATGGTGCTGCAGCCTCCCCACCCTGAATGCCCTGAAGGGGGGGGGCCCGCAGGGAAGGAGACGCGCTCACCTTCTGGAAAATGGCTGGGTTGGGCAGCGGAGGCCCAAAGAAAGGGACGTCGTCCCGGGCAGTGACTGAGACCTGCAAGACACAGGGCGAGCCGTTGGCATTGGCACTAGGGGGCTGCCCCGTCTCGGCCGGACCCAGGACCCCATGGAGCGGCTCCCACCCACCCCTGCCAGCCCCCCACCCCCACCCCAGGGTCACCTTGTAGAGGGTGTTTTCCGAACAGGCGTTCTCGACCTGCACCACCACGTAGGCGTGCAAGAAGTTGGAGGCGATCATGTCCGGCACAAAGGGGGTGTTCTCGTCCTGGAAGACGATGGCCACGATATCGTTGCCGATGTGGCGCTTCCGCTGCAGCTGGGGGAGGGAGGGGAGAGAGAAGAGGGTCAGTGGAGACGAGGAAAATTGTGTGTGTGTGTATGTGTGTCCCTGGCCGTCTTACCTGCTGCGCGTCCCCTTCGGTGTACGGCAGCTTGGTGGAGACGTGGAACATGATCTCCTTGTTCCGGAAGTTGCAGTAGACGGACTCGGTCCCCGTCTGGCCGTGCGTCACGTCCAGGCCCCCCCGGAACCTGCGCAGGCCCCAGAGAAAGAGGCCTCAGGCCAAGGCCTGGGGAGGGGGTTGCTGGGGAGGAGCAGCTACACACACACACACAGGCACATTTTGCCCCCCCTCTCGGCTGCACTCACCCCTTAAAGTCCTGCAGCTGTACCTTCTGGCCCAGGAACTCTAGGAATTCGCTAAAGGCCGCGCTCTCCTCCGTGGTGCTAAACAGCTCCTCTTCCGACGTCTGCGGGGAAAGGAGGGGGGGGTGCCCGGCAGCGGAGGGTGGGGGCACAGAGGGAGGTCTGGCTCAGGCTCAAAGGCGGCTGCTGAGCACAGCATGCATCCTGCCAGATCCCTCCCCAACAGTAGTGGCAGGCAGGGCACCCCGTCTGGTCCACGGCAGCTGCATGGGATGGGGGGGACAGGCACCCTCCCTGCCCGTGGCTGCAGGTGGCACTGCCTCCCTGGCATCTGAAGCAAAGAGGGGTGGGGGGAGGAGGATGTTGGGAGGGTCCCTTGGCGAGCTTTTCCCTCCAAGGGCCCAGCCCCGGGGTCTTCAAACGTGGCCCTTTGAGGACAGGTAGACTTCAATTCCCAGAATTCCTCAGCCAGCGTGGACTTCAACTCCCAGAATTCCTCAGCCAGCATGCCTTTTAGGACGGGTGGACTTCAACTCCCAGAATTCCTCAGCCAGCATGCCTTTTAGGACGGGTGGACTTCAACTCCCAGAATTCCTCAGCCAGCATGCCTGGCTGAGGAATTCTGGGAGTTGAAGTTCACCCGTCCTAAAAGGGCCGAGTCTGAAGACCCCTGGCCCAACCGGAAGGGCAGATGGAGCCGTGCTTCAAGAGAAACAACAGAAGAGGACGGGGTCTCTGCACAGTGCCCGGAAGCCCACCTCTATGTCCTCCCCCAGCCTGGCCAAAGGCTCCTGGCCCCCTCTCCCCACCCAAGGCTTCCCGCAGCCTCACCTGCTCCCTCTGGGGGGGGGGGACACGAGGCACAGACCCACCTGACCAAGTTGCTGGTATATCACCCCAAATTTGAAGTTATTGCTGATGACGTGTTCGTCGAAGGTGACGATCAGGCGGGAGGCCTGTGGTGGGGAGCAAAGCGGGGGGGGGGGGGGGGAGAGTTGGAGAGACTGGAAGGGGGCGGTGGGGAAGGGGCTTTTCCATCAGGGTTTCCTCCCTCCCCCCCTCCCCTCAATTCACACTCCTACCTTGGGATACAGCACAGGGTAGAAGCGGTCAACGTTCACGTCTTCACAGACCAGCTGCGGTCAAGGAGGGGAGAGGCCTAGTCAATTGACCTGCCCCCTTCTGCACGGTGGGGAGACCCTCTCCACGCCCCCCCCCCGCTTTGAGTTTTTGTGACTGAGACACCTCCCTCTGCCCTCACACCCTCCCTGCGGTCATCTCACACGGGCTCCAGCCAACGGGGTTGGGGCCAAACCGCCAGGAGGAGACACCAAAACCCATGGCTGATCCGGTTCCCTTGCGGGAAGAGAGAAAGTGGGGGACCCCCCAGCGCCCCAACTTGCCTTGGCCATCTGGACCACGTTGGGGAACTCGGTCAGGCAGGAGATGGGGATGACGTCGTGATAGGACCGGCTCTTGGTGCTGCAGGGGGAGGAGAGTCAGGGCCAAGCCGGGGGTGGGGGGGACAGAGAAAGGGGGCCCCAGCCCCACTGCAGGAGGCGCCCCACTCTCACCGCAGGAGCAGGCGCAGATGTTCCTGGTCCCCGATCACGTCGTACTTGAGCGAGAACACCAGGTGTCCCAGCGCGCCGTCCACCGAGTAGTAATTGAAATGCTCCTGAGCAGACACAAGCCAGGAGAGGAGATGACCGAGGCCTACTGCTCCTGACCTTGGAGGCTCTACAACAGTGGTTCTCAACCTGTGGGTCGGGACCCCCATTTGGGGTCGAACGACCATTTCACGGGGGTCGCCAAACAACGCAGTCCGCCATTTTTTCCCCCTTTTCCTTAGCTGTGCTACTCCCTTTTATTCTATTGGCTTTTGAAAGCCAATAGAATAGACTCTCTTGAATAGAGTCTAATTCTATTGGCTTTCAAAAGCCAATAGGAATTGTCCAGGCTGTCTCTGCCCTGCTGAGCCCACCAAAAGTCCCATTCTGCAAACGGTGCTGCACCAGTGGAGTAGTCCTCGACTTACGACCGGTTGGGGGTCGCGGCATTAAAAAGGTTGAGAACTACTGGTCCAGAGAGACCCCCACCTCCCCCCCCAATTCGCCTTCATCCCTCTGCGAGGCCTCCTCCCGCTGCCTTTCTGAGGAAGGGGCTTGAGTTGGGGGGTCCTTCTGCCCCCCCCATGCTGCTTTCCTTCGAAGGCCAGGGCAGGAGCAGGTCACCCAGACCTGACCCACCCAGCTGGGGCAAAGTGCAGCCCCTCCCTGCCTAGGGTGGCTGCCCCACCCAGAAGGCACACAGCTGGCTCAGGGCCTTGAAAGCAGTAGGCGAGTCCTGCAGATGGGGGGAAGGTCTTGAGTGACTCCACGCTGGGGGCCCCCCAAAACTGCAGCACCCCTCTTTTTTTTCTGTGCCCTACTCAGAAATCCGCCCCCTCTTCCATCTTGTGCCCTCAGAACAGCACCTGGGGCCAACACAGAAAAGGAAGGGGAGAGAAGGAGGCTGCCCTGCAATTCCGGGGTGGGGGGGGATCCCCGTGGAGCCCTCCGCCCCGGAGAAAAGACAGGAACGGCTCATCCTCCAGGTTAGCTCTGACTTGTCGCATTCCTTACATTCCTCCCAAAATCGGCAGGCCCAGGCAGAGCGGGAGGCCCAAGGCTGGCCTGGGCAGAAGCAGCCCCGGGGGGGCCTCCGTGCACCCCGACTTTGGGAGGCAGCTCCAAAGAGTCGGAAGGCCCTTGGGGTCCACCCAAACATCCCTTCCAGATGGAAGGGAAAGAGGGGGGAAGCATCAGGAGGGCAGAGCAGCCTCCAGGTGGGGGTCCCAGTGGGGTTAAGAGGGGGTGCTCTTCCCCTTCCCAAGCCCCCTCCCTCCCTCCCTCCCTCCACGGGGGCTGACCTTGCCCAAAAAGTGCTTCCGGTAGACCCTGGCCAGGTGGTTGCATTCCAGCTTGACCTTACAGCCGGGAGACTGGATTTCGGCCAGATCCAGCAGGTCGTGGTTGGTCCCCTCGATCCAGTAGCCCCCAAACTGGGGGAGCAAGATGAGCGGGAAGGGCGCCTCCCTGCCCAAAACCTGCAGAAGGGAAAAACGTGGGTGGGGGGAGGGCTATTCGAACCCTAGACAGGCGGGTAGGTAGGGAGGAAGGGTCCCCCCCCGCCTCGCCCCTCCCTGCCTGGACACCAGGGGAGGCCACCCCAACAGCCCTCTTCCTAAAAAGGGAGCACAAAGAGGACAAGAATTCTCCCCCGACACTCTTGAGGTAGACTGCTCCTAAACGGAGAGTCTCCCTTCCATCGGATGGCTTGGCTCTTCCTTACCTCGTGGACGCTGGGATAAGGGATATAATCCTCTTCCGTCTGCCAAAACACAAAAAGGCCCTTGTGGGTCAACGCACAAACACACACACACAAACCTGCGCTTCGCCCCCCCACCTGCCCACCCACCCACCATCGGTCTTGGAGCAGTGGGGAAAGTCTGGAAGAGCTTCTGTGGGGCTGCAGGGCCCCCCCCCATCCCTGCACTGGACAGGAGGGGCAGAGCCCCCAGCCCATAATGGGCGAGGGAGAGGCTGAGAAGACACACACACACAAACACAAAGGGAGTTTCACAGGGTGTAATAGGGGCAGAGAGAGGAAAAAATTCACTTTCAGGCTGGCCAGAATTCTGCCTCAAGACAGTAGAAGGAGCTCAACCGGTGGGCTTTCTGCCTGGGGTGGGGTGGGCTGGGCTGGGGGGCCGACGGAGCACCGGCCCTGCGGAGAGGCAGAGCACCTACCTTGAGGGGAGGGGGGAAGGCACAGCGCTGCTCGTCCATCCGGTTTCCCTGGGGGGGGGGGAGAGAGAGACCAGCCCCAGAGTCAACAGCCTTTCCTGGGCCGCCCGCCAGCTGTGCCAGGGCTGGGGCAGGCGGGAGGGCGGCACGGAGATCCTGCTTGGCACACGTTGGCCTGGCCTGGGCTCCGGCACAGTGGGGGGAGGGGGGGTAAAGCCTGGGTCCAGCTGCAAAGGCACAGCCCGGCACCAGGCGGCTCCCAGATGTGGCCGTGGACCCCAACCGGGTTGGCACCCTGGCTCTTTCAAAGCCCCTTCTCCACCCCTAGGGACAGCTGTGCCGGCCAAGGGTGATGGATACTGCAATCCCCCCCCCCCAGAGCCCTGGGGAAGAAAGGCAGCGGTGGATGATGAGCTCCAGGGAAGGGCGCCTCTGAGCATGCAAAGAGCACGTTTCTCACCTCCAATGCCCGGAAGGGGGGGGGGAGTGTCGCTCCCTTCCTTGCCTGAGAGTCCCCCCACTCTCAGAAAGGATTGATCCACCCTTTATTCTCCAAGGGGTCTCTGTCGGATGGACCCCTCCCCATGGCTCCTGAGTCCCCCCCCCCACAGGCTCAGGCTTGGGAGTGGCTGGACTCACCTGCATCTTTTCAATCATCGCAAACAATTCGGTGTTCTGCAGAGAGACAGAAAGGACGGGCTGGGGCGGGGAGGGTCCGGGGGGGGGCGCCCGGAGGAGACCCTGAAGGGGAAGGGGGACCCCCTTTGCCGGCCAAAGGCTCTTCCTGCACCCCAGAAGAGGCACAAAGGCCCAGGCGACCCCTTAGGCCAAGGGAAAGGCCGAGCAGGAGGTCAGCGATGGAGGGGGGGGGAAGCCCAGGAGGGCGAGAGACCCCCCACGGCCCAGGATTCTCCATGACAGGCTGGCGAGCCCTCCCTGCCTGCCCCTCTTCTCCCCACCGCCCTCCTTCTCTCCATCTTCCCCCCAGGACCCCAGGCTGGAGAGCCCTCAAAGCTTGCAAGCGCCCTGCAGCAGCGGCTACTCACGCTCCAGCCCGCGTCCTCGCCAGCCCCCCTCCATTGGGGGGGCTTGGGAGGGGGATCCGCCATTGGCTTTCCTCTCCTACCGGGGTGGGTCGGATCACATCCTTCTCCCCACGCGCTGCAGCGGAGGGGGGGCAGGAGGGAGGAGGGAGCAGCCCCACCTAGCCCCACCTCTGGCAGGTCGGTCCTTGAGTGGAGCCGAGGGAGGGGCGAGGTGCCCGGCAGCAGCACACGCCTGGCATCTGCCCCTGCCGCTATTGGGTGCCGGCCAGGTGGCCGGGCTGGGAGGAGGCAGGTCTTCCTGGTGGGGGGGTGGGGGGAGGAGGGGGGCCAAGAGGGTCACCATGGCAACTGGGGAGGAATGGAGGAAGGGGGCCGCCCAGCGGAGGGGGGAGCAAATCCTTGCAGGAAGCAGAAATGCTGGTGAAAATGAGGATGTTTCTTCCCCCCCCCCTCCCCATGGAAGGGAGTCCACAGGTGGAGCGGCCCCCTCCCCACAGGAAACTGGCCAAGGCGAAACAACATTGAGGGGTCACAGGAGAGCCCCCCCCCTAATGCAAGTACTGAACTAAAAAGAAAAAAGTTCCTTTAATTGGCCCTCCATCGCTTCTCTGGGGGGGCTGCAGGTTGGGGGGGAGCTCTCTGCCCACTGTTTCTTCCCCCCTCCCCATGGAAGGGAGCCCACAGGAGGAGCAGCCCCCTCCCCACAGGAAACTGGCCAAGGCGAAACAACATTGAGGGGCCACAGGAGAGGCTCCCCCCCTAATGCTAGTACTGAATTAAAAAGAAAAAAGTTCCTTTAATTGGCCCTCCATCGCTTCTCTGGGGGGGCTGCAGGTTGAGGGGGGGGCTCTCTGCCCCACTGTTCTGTCTCCCTTCCTAAACTCCAACTGCCCAACTTTATGGGGTAGGGGGGCAGCAGACCTGTCGGGAAGCATCCGACGGGGGCGCTTGGGGGGGAGGACGGCGTCCATGTGAAAAGTCAGATGAAGGGCTGGCTTCCGTCCTGCCGGCCTGGCTAGGCCACCCCAGTAGATGAGCTGATCTGCAGGGATCTGCAGGGATCCACTGGCAGGCGGGCCCGTTGCCCTGCCAACCCGCTCTCCCTCCCTCCCTCTCGCAGTGGGCATCCATCCTGCAGGAGCAGTTGCCCAGCACGGCCCCCAAACCTTCCCCGCTTGCAAGCACAGCGGCTTCGCCAAATGCCCAGCGGGGTCCCCCCCCCAAACGTCTGCCCAGGCACTGGGATGCCAGTCCCAGATCCTGCAAGAGGAAGGGGAGGGGAGGGAAGCAGGGAAGGGTCCCCCCCTCCCGCCAAAGCCTTTTAATCTGGAGAAGATTGGCTGGCCAGCCCCTTCATGAGGCAGGCTGTTCCGTTGGCTCTTGCCATCAGAAAGTGCCTCCAGGCAGCCCTCCCCGGTTCTGGTTGTGCCCTCTGGCCCGATTGGGGACCCTCCCAACCTCAGAGGCAGAAGGCCTGCCCTGCAGGGGTGGTAGAAAGCTATGAGTGGTTGTCGCACTCAGCTCAGCTGCAGAAAGCCTGCCCCATGAAGCTGCCTTCGCCTGGGAGGGGGGGGATCACGGAGGGGACTTCCCACAGCCCCCCGCCCCTCCAGCTATGGGCGACTCTAGGACACAGACTTTTGGGAATGTGGGCGGGAAGCCACAGCGGCACCCAGTGGCCCCCCAGTGCCCCCCCCCCAATGCAGCCATGTTCACCCTTACCTTGGGATGGAGAACCGTGGGGTGCAAAGGGGAAGAGATTCTTCTAGGCAGCTCTAGGGGTCCGCTGGAGGAGGAGTGGGACAGCCCATTATTTTTCCTGGGGGGGGGAGAAAAGACAAGGTTGTAGGAAAAAGATCCATGCAGCTAAAACTCCCTAACCCAGAGAGCCTTTATTTGGGGGGGGAATCTGGGTCTGTTGATATCCCGAGACCCTTCTCTTGGTCTGCAGGGGAAATTTAATGCAGGGCAGGGAAGGTGGGTTGGGGGCCAGAAAGAGCCCCTCACCACTCAGCCGGGACACACCGGGGGTCCCTGCGCAGTTAGCTACCTGGGGAGGGTCTTTCTTTGGGCAACAAGACCCCTTCATGGGCAGAGAGCTGCTTACTCTCCCCTTGTGCCTCTGGCCGCCATGCCCTCAGCTCCCAGTGGCTGGCAGGGACCCCTCCCCAGCATGTCACCCTGGCAACGGGATGCAGATGCTAATCGACAACAGGCGGGCGGGGGGGGGGGCAGGGAGACACTCGGCGTATGCACAGAGGCTCCACAGAGGCTCCACGCAGCCGAAAGGAACGCCTGGAGCAGGCAGCCCAGCCTGTCTATAAAGTTTCCATAGCAACCAGATAACCGGTAATTGATTGGCAATTATTCTTTGGGAATCACGCCACGCTGGTGACAAATTGTGTGCCATCTCAAGGCGCCTGCCCAGAAATGGGGGGGGGGTAATATGGCTGTCACGGCAGCTGATGCCTCCCACCCCGGAGCCACCTGGCGCTTCGAACGCACCAAGCACAGGGATGCTCCTGGATGCTCTGGGCACCGGACCCTCCCTCCCGGCCCCCCAAAAGCTTTGAATGTGGCCCCTGGCAGGAAACCCCCCCCATGAGGATGGGGGTCCGAGCGCTGCAGCTTTGCTCTCCCCTCTCCCCACCCAGGGCACCCCTGCAAAAACAGGGGCAGGTTTAGGAAAAAAAAAGCCCCCCAGCCCCAATTGTCTGTCTTGCTAAAGGGGGTCAGGCATTCCCACAGGTGGCCACCAGAGGGCGCTGCCTACTCACCCTCCCCTCTCCAAAGAAGTGGGCGGGGCCCGACCCTAACAGCTTGGATTTGGACACCTCCTCCTTTTAAAGGGGTCTTCTAAGCCCTGACCCCCACTCCAGTCTAGGGGAGGGGGGGCTGAGAGAATGAAGGAGGTGTGATACCACCAATGGGCAGCGATAGAACAACATTAACTGGAAACTTCCCAACAGTGAGGACAATTAGCCAGTGGAACAGCTTGCCTCCAGAAATCACTGAAGATTTTAAAGAAGAGGCTGGACAGTCACTTGTCTGAGATGGTATATAGGTCCTCCTGCTTGAGGAGGGGGCTGGACTAGAAGACCTCCAAGGTCCCTTCCAGATTCTATTCTATTCTATTCTATTCTATTCTATTCTATTCTATTCTATTCTATTCTATTCTATTCTATTCTATATTCTATATTTATATTCTATATTCTATATTCTGTTCTACTCTATTATTCTGTTCCATTCTATTCTATTCTCTATTCTACTCTATTCTATTCTCTATTCTATTCTATTCTATATTCTACTCTACTCTACTCTACTCTATTTTCTATTCTATTCTATTCTATTTTATTCTATTCTATTCTTCTTTCCATATTCCATTCCATTCCATTCTACATTCTATTCTATTCTATTCTATTCTATTCTATTCTATTCTATTCTATTCTATTCTATTCTATTCTATTCTATTCTATTCTCAGCGTTTTTCAACCTTGGCTACTTTGAGAGGGGTGGGCCTCAACTCCCAGAATTCCCCAGTCTAGGGGAAGACGAGCATTGCTGGTTATGGGGGGAGCCTTCCAGGCCCCTCCCTGGCCAAGCAACGGAGGCTTCCTTCACGCGAGGCTGGCGAGGGCATCCTGTCAGCAGTCTGGGGTGGGCGCTGTGCCAGAGAGGACCCTGAGAGGCTTTGATTGTCCCCTCAGGAGTCGGGGTGGGGGCAGAGGGTCCCGGCACCCTCCCTCCATTATTCAGAGAGGGAATGGGCTCATTCTCCTTCCCCCCAAATGCAAAATAGAGGTGGGGGAGGCCAGGAGATACTTGAAATTGGGGGGGAGGGAGAGAGAGAGAGAGAGAGAGAGAGGAAGAGAGAGAGAGAGGAAGAGAGGGACAGAGAGAGAGAGAAAGGGAAAGAGAGGAGAGACAGGGAGAGAGAGAGAAAGGGAAAGAGAGGCAGGGAGAGAGAGATAGAGAGGGAGAGAGAGAGAGAGAACGACAGAGAAAGAGGGAGAGGGAGGGAGAGAGAGGGAGAAAGAAGAAGGGAGGGAGAGAGAGAAAGGGGAAGAGAGAGAGAGGGAGGTAGGGAGAGAGAAAGAGAGAGAGAGGGAGAGAGAGGAGATGAGAGGGAGAGGGAGAAAGAGGGAGGGAGAGAGAGAAAGAGAGAGAGAAAGAGAGAGAGGGAGAGAGAGAGGGAGAGAGAGAAAGGGAAAGAGAGAGGGAGATAGAGAGGTAGGGAGAGAGAGGGGGAGAGAGACATAGAAAGGGAAAGAGAGAGAGGGGGGAGAGGGAGGAAGAGGGAGGGAGAGAGAGGGAGGGAGAGAGATGCACCTCCAGCAGAAGATAACAAAAGCATCCTGTAATTTGGAAAAGGTGCCTCTCCACAAGAGGGGGGGGGAGCCTTGGGGTCCAAAGGTGGATGTACCAAGCCAGCCGTGTCTCCTGGGCACCAGAGGCCAGAGGCACCCCATGCCCTGGCACTGCCCTCCTAAGCCTGGCCAAGGGCAAAAAAAATCCCCATGCCAGCTTGTGCCAGCTTTCCGACTGAAAGCCCGGGGCGATGCTGCTCCCTCCCCCCCCCCAGAGCCAAGCTGGGCTCCCAGCATGCCCCGTGCCGGCATTCGGTACTCACCGCAGGCTCCAGGGGTAGACAGTCGTCTTGTCCACCCTGAGGGGAGAGACAGAAAAAAGGCCGCAGCTTCAGCATCCGGAGCCAGGCACGGCCGGAAGCCTCTCCTGAATAAAGCCGCCCTTTGGCTCCATGGTGCCCACCATTCCTCTTTGCCAGACAAGCCTTGCCCCCCCACCCCCCACCCTTTGGTACAAAGGCACACCCCCCCACACACCAAATGTAGACCAAAGGCTGGAAAACAAACAAGGGCTGTTTGGGGTTTCTCGGCCGAGTAGCAAACCAGTTCAGCCGGCCCGAGAACCGGTCCTCGTGTTTGGGGTAGAACCATCTGGGAAAGCGGGCATTGCAGAGCGATTAAACCTGCAGCGCCCGCAGCTTTGCAGCACTCTGCCAGGAAGCCCCCCCTCCCTCCCTCCCTCCCTCCCTCCCTGGGATGCAGCAAAAGGGGGTGTTTGGTGGAGCCTCCCCTCTCAGGGGCAGTCCACCCCCCCCCTCCTGGGGTAGGGAGGAATGAGCAGGAGCGATTCCTGCACAGCTACAGGAATTCACGGGAAGGCAAGGGGGGATGGGACCACCTCCCCAGCAGGTGGAGAGCCCGAGGGGTGAAGACGTGGGGGGGGCACCATTCTGGGCACAAAGCCCCTTCCCCTGCTGGCATCAAACGCATCACCCTGCCCAGCTGGGAGCAAAAGCACAGTCGAACTGGGGGCCACAAGGTGATGTAGCTGGATGAACAGCATCCCTTGGGAGGGGGAGACGAATCAACCTCCACCACCAGCCCCCCCCTTCCCACAGCAGCCCCCTACCAATTCTTTTACTAATGTACAGATAAGTCCATAAAGGGGGGTCTTCACATCAGAAGCCGCCCATGGCCAGAGTAAATGGACTCTCCCCCCCCCCACTAGCAGCTCTGCCCCCCGCCCACGGAGGAAACGAAGAACAGGAGCTGCCTTGTCCCAGCAGACGAGGTGGCTTTGCGGGGGGGGGGGACACACACAGAGCAAGGACCTGCTCAAACCCAAGCAGGACAAACCCCCCCCATTTCAAAGCAGAAAGACACAAAGGATTTTTCTAGCAGCTGGCTGGGAGGGTGGGAGGAACAGAAGAGTTACAGAGCCACCCTCATTCATGGGGGGGACACGGGGGGGTTTCCTTTCAGCCCTTAAAAGGCCAGTTTTGGCAACCGCTTTGTTTTTCATGCACGGGACCCGAGTTCAGGATGCTACAAGACACGGCTGGCGAATAGGAAAGGGGGGGGGAATAGCCTCTTTTAAAAAGGCTTATTAATTGTCTTAACTGAGGTTAATTGGCGCAGCACCCCGAGGGAGAGCGAGAACAAGGCCATTTTTAAAGGCAAAGGACTGAGGCTGGGCACGCCAGCCTGGCTGGGAGGGGGGGGGGAGACATGCAGAATCGGAATACAGGTCTGGGAAACAGCCGAGGGAGGAGGCAGAGGGGATTGGACTGGCCCCCGCGGATGCAGTCCTCCCTCCAGCCCCCCCACCACTCACCCTCCATAGGCCCCGAAGGTAAAGCTCCGCTTGCGGGACCCCATCCCGGCTCCTGGGAGTGCTCGGTGGGGCTGCCCGCCCTGGCGCTGCCCGCAGCAAAGCTCTAGAGCCCAGCGGAGAAAGGGGGAGGGCCGGGCTGGCCCCTCCCGCCCGCCCAAAGGGGTTGGGCGGCTGCAGAGGGCCTCAGGGCAGCCGGCGGCCAGCCGGCATGCCCGGCGGTGGTGGGCAGAGGGGCCGCTCAGCCTCCCAGCCGGTGCCAGTCTCTGCCAGGGCCATCCCAGACCGCCTCCCTCGCTCTCGCCCCCCTGGGCAGCTGTGGGAGGGCCCGGAGAACCCTTTGCTGTCCTGCAGCCCCAGAGACAGCCTGGCCCTCCTTTCTCTCTCTCTCTCTCTCTCTCTCTCTCTGTATGTGTGTGTGAGAGAGAGAGAGAGAGAGAGAGAAAGAGAGAGAAAAGAGAGAGAAGAGAGAGAGAGAAAAGAGAGAGAGTGTGAGGAGAGAGAGAGAGAGAAAGAAGAAAGAGAGTGTAAGGAGAGAGAGAGAAGAGAGAGAGAGTGTGAGGAGAGAGAGAGAAAGAAGAGAGAGTGTGTGTGTGAGGAGAGAGAGAGAAAAGAGAGAGAGAGAGGAGAGAGAGAGAAAAAAAAGAGAGAGAGTGAGAAGAGAGAGAGAGAGAAAAGAGAGAGAGGAGAGAGAGAGAGAGAAAAGAGAGAGAGTGAGAAGAGAGAGAGAGGGAGAGAAGAGAGAGAGAGTGTGAGGAGAGAGAGAGAGAGAGAATAGAGAGAGAGAGAAGAGAGAATGTGTGTGAGAAGAGAGAGAGAATGTGAGAAGAGAGAGAGAGGAGAGAGAGAGAGAAAAAAGAGAGAGTGTGTGAGAAAAGAGAGAGAGAGAGAGAGAGAGAGAGAGAGAGAGAGAGAGAGATTTTCACACAAGGCTTCCTTCGGTGGGTCAAAATCCCCAAGATCCTCTCTGTCTCTGCAGGAGATTCTAACCCCACCCCACCCCAAGGAGGGAGGGCATAAATAAGAGAAAGGTGGTGGGCGGACCCCAGACTCAGCCAGGGAGGGTGGCCCAGGAGCAGGGCAAGAGCAGCCCACCGTACCCCTCGGCTTACAGCACAAAGTAGGCTCTCAAGCATGTACAGAGTGCCTTTCTTTGGCTCCTGAATCACATCTGTGACAGACGCGTGCATACAATGCAGGAAAAAAAAAACAACCCACAAATGATTGGGACCCCCTTCCCCAGCACAGCTTGATTCTAGTCCAGGGGTCTTCCAAGTTGGCCCTTTGAGGACTTGTGGACTTCAACTCCCAGAATTCCTCAGCCAGGCTGAGGAATTCTGGGAGTTGAAGTCCACAAGTCCTCAAAGGGCCAAGTTGGAAGACCCCCTGCCATAGGAAGTGGATTACAAGTCCTGGCATCCGATAGGCAGCATGGATGGCTCACAGTCAGGAAACGCCCCCTACTGGAGAGTGCCTGGCGGTGCTCCCGCCGGGCACAACAGAGGCAGCCTGCGTGCATGTGTGCGAGTAGCAGCACCGTGGACAGCGTCTCCCAACTGCTTCCTTCCCACCAGTTGTGCTACACACACAGCCACACGCTTCGCACGCTTCTGCCTCTCCTGCCCCCCCCCCAGGACCTGTGACGACCCCCCCCCTCCACTCAGCCAAGCAACAGGTTTTGTTTTGCAAACGACGCACTCGAGAACACCCAGCGGGGTCCGTGCACACTGCACACCCACCCGCCCACCTTAAACACGCACACAAAGGCGCCCAAAAGTTCCTCTTTCCAAAGCAGAAAAACACAACCTCCATTCCGCTAACACAACAACGCAGGCCACAGCTCCCCGGGGCCAGAAAAGAGCTCTGGAAGGGCATGGATTACAGTGGGCAGAGAGAGAGAGGGGGGGCTCTGGGTTCAAGTCCCAGCAGGCCTGCCTGGAGCCAGGGTAGAACCGAGCGTTCCCTTCTCTTTAGGTGAAAAACATAAACAATTCCTGGTTGTGAGGCTTAAGCTCACAACCTTTAACACTTTTACAGTGGCCCTCAACAGAGCTGCCCCCCCCAGTTTCCTCCGGGGTGTCTCCAAGCTGGATGCCCGTAATAGGCGGCACAGCGAGGGGGCTTTTCCCCTACACAATTCAGGCATCTCCTGGCAGCCTAGGACACGGGTCCCCAACCCCCGGTCTGTGGACCGGTAGCGGGCCACAGCACGCCAGCAACCGGTCCGCACAAACAAGCAAAGCCCCATCCGTGGGATGCAGGCAGCACACAAAACCACACACTCTCTGGTCCGTGGAAAAACCTCTCTCCACGGAACCGGTCCCTGGTGCCCCGAAGGTTGGAGGCCTCTGGCCTCTCCTTCTTCTCACGTCATATCCGTTATCGGACGTTGGCGATCCTGTTTTTAATCAGCAGCCGCACGAAAAAGTGCTGCTGAGTTTTGTCCGAAGCAGATTTTGAAGCCACGATGTTCTTCTTCTGCCTGGATCACGTTTGCCTTCAGTCTTTCCCTGAGATTCTTAGCACCCCTGCCCCATTTAAGGGGCTCCCCCTGCCCCATTTAAGGGGTGCCCGTAGGTTTTGCCGCCCTTAAGGTGATTTTCCTGGGAAATATAGAGTGTAGTAGTCGTCCCTTTGCTTTCTACACGGCTGTGCACACGCTGTTCAAGTGGCTGCCACCACCCCGTGTGCTGTTCTTCTGAAGCCGGTCCAACCAATATGGTCTCTGCCTTTAGTTGATACTGGGGACGCAGCTGTCACTCACCAGGCCTGTTGGTCCAAGGAGAAGGACCAACCCACCATTATAGCATAAAAGCCCTAATGGGGAGGGCCCCCCCCAATCCACCACCCAGGGATGCGCTCTGTGGGGGATCCAGGCTCCCCTAAGACATCTTTGGCCTAGGCCAGGGGTAGGCAACCTTGGCTCTTTTATGACTCGTGGACTTCAATTCCCAGAATTCCTGAGCCAGCATGAGGGAAACTTTGGCCCCTTCATGACTCGTGGACTTCAACTCCCAGAATTCCTGAGCCAGCCATGCTGAGGGGAAAGAAAGAGGTTTCTAAGTTCCCCCATGCCGGCTCGGAAATTCTGGGAGTTGAAGTCCACCAGTCATCAAAGAGCCAAGGTGGCCTACCCCTGGCCTAGGGGACGTCAACCTGAATCGTGCCTCCCCTGCTACAGATGGGAAGACTGAGGCTCAGAACAGACTGCCTGGCTAATGAGCTCGTGACGGATCTGGATGAGGCACGCACGCAGGCAGAGCTGGCACCCCTCCCTGTTTCTGGGAGACAAAGCCTGGCACGGAAACTTTGCCAGGCGAGGGGTAGCGGGTGGCGGGTAGGAGGTGTGAAGCCGCTGAGGAGTGGGCCCCGTTTTCAAATCTGGCAGAAGGCAGCCGGAGCTGAATAACAAGCAAGCGGGGAGGAGAAACGGAATGAGCGAACACGGGCAGGAGCAAACGCCCGGGGCGGGTGGGGAAGCGGGCAAGGCAACTGGGGGGGGCAGGGTGGAAGAGCGGGCATGGCATCCTGTGGGGAAACTAACCCTCCAGGACCCCCTGCATGCATTGGTGAACTCAGAAAGCACGGGGGGGGGACTTTGTCCATCTCTGCCACCTCCTGCAGGGCCGCCTGGGCAATTGAGGCCACCTGTGGGCGAGGGAGGGCACAGACCCTCCCCCTCGTGGAAGTGCCGCATGCAGGAGGGCTGGAGTGGGAGGGAGGGCACACGAGCCTAGAGGTGCACGTGGCAAGCCAGACAGAGGCCGGGCACGTTTTCCCGCAGGGCACCTGCCAGACCCCGAGTGCCCTCTCTTCCTTCTAGATCTCTCACCCACACAAACACACAAACACCCACACACACAACAGAATCAGCCCTCCAGGATGGCCTGCCTCCCCTGGCTGATGATGTAGCTATACTGACGCCCTCTTACCTGGCGCAACCTTCCTACCCTGCCAGGAGGGTGGGGGGCGGCAGAAGACGCCCCCCCCACCAGACTCCAGGAAACTCCTCTCCTACCTCGCAGCCCCCCCCCACCGGCCCTTGGCTGCCCACCTGGCGGCCTCCTCCGCCGCAGCCCCCTCCCCATGCCCGCTTCCCCCGCCAGTCCAGGTGCAGGGAGAATTTGAGGGGGGGGCTTCCAGTTCAAGGAGAGGAGCCGGGACCCCCGCCCAGGATTCCGAGGGGCCCCGCCTGGCGGACGGGCAGCAGCCGGGGGCGCGCCTTCGCAGACAGGCGCAGGGAGGAGACCCCCCACTTCCCAGGAAGGGAGCCCCCCCATCCCAGCCCGGTCTCTTCCAGCGCGTGGGAGAGGCCGGCAGGAGCCCCCCCGTCCCCGACTGCCAGCCTGGCCCTCGCCCTGCGCGGCAGCAGCCTGGGGCGCGCATTCGCAGGTGCAGCCGGAACGGGAGCCCGGAGACCCCCATTTCCCACCCCGTTCTCTTCCAGCGGAAGGGAGAGTCCGGGAGGAGGCCCCCCCTCCCCGACTGCCAGCCTGGCCCTCGCCCTGCGAGGCTCTCCACGACCCGGGAGGCGAGGGGGGGGGACGAAGCGGGGAAGGGCCGGGAAGGAGGGAAGCTGGAAGGCTGGAGGGGGGGGAGGATCTCCTCCCTCTCCTGCCCCGGGAAGGGCCGGGGTCTCCGCGCGCCCCTCCCGCCTCCAACGGCCTTGGTCCGGGTAGAAGCGGTGGGAAGAGGGGGGAACCTACCGGAGCCGCCGGGAGACGCGTCCGCCGCCGCCGTCTGCCCTCCGCGGCGAGCCGAGCCGGGCAAGGAGCCGCTCTCGCCTCGCGCGTGCCCATTGGACGCCCGCCGCAGGAGGGGGAGGGGCCCCGGCCGGGGGGGGGAGGCGCGCGCGCCCCCCGACCAGGCTCGTCCCCGTCTCTCGGGGAGGGCGGGGGCGCGCCCGGAGAGAAGGAGGTGGGGGGGGTGTGCGGTTCTCGGCCCTGCGGAACGCGCTGCTACGCGGTGCGCCCTTTGGGGAGCCTAGCAGCACCTGGGCTTCGGGGTGTGTGGGGGGGGGGAAGCAGGGAGTTTGGGATGGGGTGGGGTGGGGCGAGGGGCTAAAGACGGGGATGGGAGGACCGGCCCCTACACAGCCCCGGGAGGACTTTCCGCAGGGTGCTTCTGAACCATGAATCGCTTTTTTTAAAAACAAAGGTTCTAGTCCTCATCGTTCCAAATCCAGGCTAGAAGAAAGCAAAATGCCTGCCGGCCTCCAGATAATTCTCCCAGCCTCTCTGCTATTATTGGCTGGTGGATTTTCCTTCCCCCACCCACCCACCCCCTTGATTTTTCCAGAGATTTCCTTGACTTGAGCCTGCAGGAAAGGAAAAATCCAAAGGGTTGCAAAATTCTCTTGGACACACACACACACTCCATCTTCCTCGGGCACCCACTTTCGCACTGGGGACCCAACCGTGGCTGGAGAGAGGCTGCAGCACCACCCTGGCACCATTCAGACCTGGGACAGCACCCTCCATCCTCCTGGGCTGGAGAGAAAAGGCCCACAGCCAGCGGCTCCGGGCAACGCGGGGGGGGAAGGGAGGAGGATGGACGCCCACGCTGTGGCTGATGGACTTTGAACCCGGCCAGGCTGTTGGTCCTTGGCAGGCGGAGGGAGGGGGGGTAGAAGTGTGCCAATGGGGGAAAGGCCAGCAACATCATGGGAACGGGCCTGGTCTTAACAGGCAAGGGGGTTTATTTATTTATTTATGAGACTTATATACCGCTTTAAGTGCGAGCACTCTCTAAGCGGTGTACACCAGTAAGCAATGTATATATATATATATTTACATTGCCCCCAACAATCTGGGTCCTCATTTTACCTACCCCAGAAGGATGGAAGGCTGAGTCCACCTTGAGCCGGTGAGATTTGAACCGCTGACCTGCTGAACACAGTCAGCTAAAGTGGCCTGCAGTACTGCACCCTAACTGCTGTGCCACCTCAGCTCTTCAATAGGTGGGTGGGCAAATCAGAAGATGGGCATCTGCGGCCCTTTGCTGGCAAAACCAATTTTTGGCCAAGACAAAACACCGGCAACGGCTATTCTTAGGGGGGGCTACAAATAAGAAGGCAGTTCCAACACTTCTTGTTGTTCTGAGTCCTAGAATACTTTTTCTCAAAGGGCCTTGCTTTTAGGCCAAACCGTTAGCGGCAGGAGAGAAATTATATTATTAATATTAACAATAATAATAATAAGAGTTGGAAGGGACCTTGGAGGTCATCTAGTCCAACCCCCTGCTCAGGCAGGAAACCCTATGCCATTTCAGACAATCTCTTCTTAAAAACTTCCAGTGTTGGAGCATTCACCGCTTCTGGAGGCAAGTTGTTCCACTGGTTAATTGTTCTCACTGTCAGGAAGTTTCTCCTTAGTTCCAGGTTGCTTTTCTCCTTGATGAGTTTCCCTCCGTTGCTTCTTGTCCTGCCTTCAGCACTTTGGAGAATAGCTTGACTCCCTCTTCTTTGGGGCAGCCCTGCAATACTGGAAGACGGCTATCATGTCACCCCTCGTCCTTCTCTTCATTAGACTAGACATTCCCAATTACTGGGTGATTTCCAGCCAGATCGGAAAGCTGACTTTCTCAAGAGCCAGCGTGGCTACGTGCAAACACACAAAGTCTGGAGGGGCTCTCTCTCTTCCCCCCCCCCCCAGCCCAACCTATCCCCTCTGCTCGCCACCTTGAGCCACTGGCCAAAGTGGCCGGCCACAAACCAGTAGCTTTTAACATGAATTCGAATCCATCGCCCTAAACGACCCTGGCGGGAAGGGAGCGAGGGAATGGGGGAGAGAGCGGTCACTCTGACCCCAATCCTGATCCCGGGGAGATTTAGAAGATTTTTTTTTTATGCCTGAAGCGCTCAGTGGGGAAAAAATAAAAACACAATTTTATGCAAGGCAACACAAAATACAAAGGCGACCGATCACGTATACATACTTTAATAAGGCTCTCAAAACTAGTCCCAAAACGTTTGCAGCCCAGGCAGACAGGGCGACGGGGGCGGGTGGGTGGGGGGCTTGACCCAGCCCCCCCCCCAGACCTGGCCAGACTTGAACAGTCTGATTCTCCGTACTCACCCGTGGCAGCGGATCGGCTCTCCCAGGCCTTAAGAAGACTTTTTCCATCCAGAGGGCTCGCCGAGAGAGGCGGCCAGGATGGGGAGGGGGAGATGCCAGGCAGCCCCTACCTTATTTTGGTGGGGGGGGGAGAGGAGAGGGCTGGGGGAGAGCAGGGCCAGAGAAAACCACCAGCCCGCCCTCTTCGCTTCCAGGAAGAGCTGCAAAATCAGCAGCGTCCATTTCGTGCCCCCCCCCCGGAGAAGAAATGGTCCCCACTGGAAGGAGCCCAGCATCCCTGCCCTATACGTTGTCTTGCTGGGCTGCCCCCTCCCCCCAACCCAACCCCCCCCCATTCATGGCAAACAGTCCTGGAGTGACAGCCGAGACCTCGAGCAGGTTTCCCGCCACGCCCCCTCCCCAAAACCTCACACTTTTGGTTCTCCCCCCCCCTTCAGGAATGCTGAGGGCTCGATCACCTGCTGGCCCAGCGTGGCCCTTGGGGAAGGGGCTTCAGGAGAGTCGATGCGCAGCCCTCCCACCCACCCAGCCTGTGGTAAAAAGCCCCCCCCCCAGGAACCCGGACCTCTGTTGCTTTGGGGCTGAAAGGAACTGGGGAAGCGGCTGCAAAGTTCTGGAGCCCATCAGCCCCTCCTCAGTCAGAGGCCCCAGCTGTCCTACGGGAACGCCCCAGGTTTGGGGTCGGGGGGCTGCCTGGGCAGCCCCCAAAGGGAGAAGCGATGCTCAAGAAAAGGGTCCAAAAAGAGGGTCCGCTGCTCTGCCCTCCTGCCGGCTGTAAGTCTCTCTCTCAAGGACCCCCGTGCTTCCTCCCATCGTCCCAGGAAGTCCTGGCCCGCCAGCGTTGGTTTTTGCACCTCCTCCGCTCGTAAAAGTGAATAATCTGTTCCGAGAGGGACCCCAAAGTGGGGGGCTCCCCTCTAGGAGTCCTCTCTCTCTCTCTCTCTTTCCCCCCAGGTGTGCACCGAGATGAGGCCTCTGGGGCGGCCGGGCTGAACGGGGGTCCCTCCGAGGGGCTGAAGCTCTTTCAGTTCGCTGTTCCCGGAGGGCCCAAAAGCTTTCTCATCCAGGCTATTGGAGGGGTGGGTGGCCGTCTGGCCAAAGAGCGAACGTTAGTGGCCGAGGAGACCCGTCCCTGGAAAAAGAGGGGGGGGAGAGGTCAGTAAACGAGGAGGCGTCTGTGGGGGGGGGAGAGAGAGAAAGAGAAAGAGAGAGAAAGAGAGAAAGAGAAAGAGAAAGAGAAAGAGAAAGAGAGAAAGAGAAAGAGAAAGAGAGAAAGAAAGAAAGAGAAAGAGAGAGAGAGAAAGAGAAAGAGAGAGAGAAAGAGGGAGAGAGAGAGAAATAGAGAGAGAAAGAGAAATAGAGAAAGAGAAAGAAAGAGAGAAAGAGGGAGAGAGAAATAGAGAAAGAGAGAGAAAGAGAAAGAGAGAAAGAAAAGAGAAAGAGAAAGAGAGAGAAAGAGAAATAGAGAGAGAAAGAAAGAGAGAAAGAGAAAGAGAGAGAAAGAGAGAAAGAGAGAAAGAAAGAGAGAGATGGGGCAGGGAGGGCAAGGCCTACCTTTAAAGCCTTCCTCCGGAATGCAGACTGGAAAAGAAGACAAAAGCAGTCAGAGAAGCCTCCAGAGGCCAACACGGTCTACCTTGCTGGGAGGAGAATTGAGGGCTGCCACCGCCATCCCCCCCAGCGCTTGGCAACAGACCGAAGTGACGGAAAAGCGGGTGGGGGGGAAACCAGGAACGCTGGAGGAGGTTACCTTGCATAACGTCATCTATGGCCGCGTAGTCCACAATGGGCTCGTCGGCCTGTTTTGGGGGAGGAAGGAAAACTGGGCGTTAGATGGGGGCAAAAGTTGCCCCCTCCCACACATGCATACACCCCACCGGAAGAGGGACAGACGGCCCGCGGGATCACCGGCTGACCGTCCCAAGCCGAACTGGCCTGGCAGCCGAGGGCAAAGGCTTGGGGCGTGCACGGCGGGAGCCACCGAAAGGCGGAAGGCCAGGCCTCGCTCACCTTCAGCAAGACCACGGACTCGGGCGTGACCCCCAGGCTGCCCAGCGTGGCCACGTCGTCGGACAGCACCGTCCCGTCGATGGAGAGGTTCTGGTCGAAGGGAGCCACGGAGAAAGCGTGCATGATCTGTGCCGGAAACACACGGCGGGACACTGAACAGGGGAGCTTCTCTGCGGAGGCAGGGCCACCCCCTTTGCATTCTCCGAGGTCTCCTAAACCAGGGGTCCCCAACCCCTGGTCCGTGGACCGGTACCGAGCCACAGCACGCCAGCAACTGGTCCGCACAAATAAGCAAAGCCCCATCCGTGGGATGCAGGCAACACACAAAACCACGCACTCTCCGGTCCGCGGAAAAACGTCTCTCCACGGAACCGGTCCCTGGTACCTTGAAGGTTGGGGGCCTGTGTCCTGAATGGAGGATGGAAGACCAGGGAGAAAAACAGCCCTCCTTCTGCGCTGAGCAAGGGGGTCCTCTGCGCACGGGCAGGAGGGCGGGGGGCTCACCTGGATCTTCAGATCCTTCAGGGTCTGGTTAGCGGAGACGAGGAGGGCCTTCTCCCCCCGGATTCTCCTGTGCCGAGTGCTGCGCCGGATGCCCTGCTTCTGGCAGACCACAGAGTTGGGGTGGGAGACCTTCTGCCGCTTGGCGTTGCTGTTCGCCTGGGAGGCAGAAGAGATTCCAGCCAGGGGGGGAAACCGAGGCCCACCCCCTCTTCCCCCGCCTGCCGGGCCCTTCGCTTTGCACTCAGGCCCTGCCGGGGGTCCCGAGTCCCCTCCCCAAAGCCACCTTCTGGATCTTCCCCAAACGCCATGTTTCCACAAGTCTTCCCGCTCGCCCCGACCAGGACAAAGTCCCGTGGAGACTTCTTATCATCAAGACCGGAATTTACCTGGTTGAAATCCGGATCGTGCTCCCCTTCCGCCCTGGCCTCCTCCCGCTCTTCTTCGGCCTCCGAACTGCTCACGTTCAGCTCCGGAGCAGCCTCCTTCATGACCTGGAAGGGGGGGGGAGGACAGAGAGGAGAGAGGGTGGAGCTGCTCTTAGCCTCCTTTGGGAATTGGATCTTCACACCGAGTGGGACGGAGCTCAAGTCACTAGTAACACACACACACACACACACACACACACACACACACGGGAGAGACTCAGACCCCGGGTCTGGGCCCAAGGAGTAAAGACCACTGAGGGCTGTGCAAAAGAGAGACATCAAGGTTGTCTAGAAAGTGCATGGTGGGAAAGAGCCAGGAGGGTCCGTGGCCCCCCCCTAAACTGAAAGCCCTTGGTTTAAACCAGCCTTGCACTTTTTTTATCAAAATATATACCCCTGCAATACACACACACACACACACACATTCCTGGGGGTTAATTTCTACATAGACCACCTAAGACGTGTGTTTCATCTTCTTGATGGCCGTGAATCTCAAGAGCTGGTTCCTCTAAGCTCAGAGAGAGAGAGAGCAAGGGAGGGAGGGGGGAAGAGGGGGGAGGGAGAAAGAGGTTGAGAGAGAGGGTGGGAGGGGGAGAGGGAGGTAGAGAGGGAGGAGGGAGGGAGAGAGAGAGGAAGGGAGGAGAGAAGGGGGAGGGAGGGGAAGGAAAGAGAGGAAGGGAGGGAGGGAGGAGGAAGAGAGAAAAAGAAAGAGGGAGGGATGTGGAGGGAGAGAGAAGAGGGAGGGAGGAAGGGTGGGAGGTGGGAGGAGAGAAAGGGAGAAAGGGAGGAAGGAAGGGAGGGAAGAAGGGAGAGGGGAAGGGAGGGAGGGAGGAAGGAGAGAAAGGGAGGGAGAGAGAGGGAGAGGGGAGAGAGAGGAAGAAAGAGAGAGAGAGAGAGAGAGAGAGAGAGAGAGAGAGACAAAGCCAAGGCCTGGTGGACAAAACCAAGGCCTGGGGCTGCCCAGTCTCTCAACTCAGCTGCCATTTGGATGAGCATCTTAAGAAAGGGAGGTTTCCCCCCCCCCTTCCCTCTTGCTTTTAAGATAAGTGCGGAAGGGCCAGGGCAGACCCCAGCCTTTAATGGATTGCCCCCCCCCTCCCCAAGGAATGGCTCACCCAACCACTAAAGAGGAGCAGAAGAGGGTCTGCTTCAGGCCCTGAATTCATCGGCCGCCTAATAGCGCAAGGAACCCCCCACCCGGGGCTCTGCTGAGACTCTGGCCCAGAACGGGGGTTGGGGGGGGGCCTGAACCCCAAGAGCAGGAACACCCGGGCCCCTTCCCAGCTTTTCTGTGATCCTTCTGGGCAGAGGAGGGGGGGGGAGACCAACCTTCTTGTCATCCACCACTTTGCGCACGTAGATGGTGGCCTGGGTGTATTCCCGCAGGTCTCTCTGCTGCTGGTACAACAGCCCTTCTCGGCAGTCCAGGCACAGCTCTGGGGGAGAGGGAGCAGGAAGGGGGGGGTCTGTCTCCGCAAAGACCCCGGGCTCTGCAGGGCCTCGGCCGGAGAACCGGTGGCCGCGACGGGGCAAGGGCGTCGCGAAACCCTCAGAGGCCCTTGGAGTGAAAACTCTCGGCAGGGGGGGCTTTCATTTTGAGGGCACCGGAGGGGTTTCTGGCTCTCTTGGACCCTCATATGCCATGGAGGGAAACTTCTCAAGGGGAGAAGCAGCCTGGAACTAAGGAGGAATTTCCCAACAGGGAGAACAGTGAACCAGTGGAACTGCTTGCCTCCAGAGGTTGTGGGTGCTCCAAGGAGGTTTTTAAGAGGAGATTGGACAACCATTTGTCTGGAATACGGTCTCCTGCTTGAGCAAGGAGATGGACTAGAAGACCTCCAAGGTCCCTTATTCTATTCTATTCCATTCCATTCCATCTCTTCATTCTATTCTATTCTATTCTATTCTATTCTATTCTATTCTATTCTATTCTATTCTATTCTATTCTATTCTATTCTGTTCTATTCATCTCTTCTATTCTCTTCTTTATTCCATTCCATTCCATTCTATATTCTATTCTATTCTATTCTATTCTATTCCATTTTCATTCTATTTTTCATTCCATTATTCTATTCTATTCTATTCTATTCTTCTCTTCTCTTCTTTATTCCATTCCATTCTATATTCTATTCTATTCCATTCCATTGCAGTCCAGTCTAATTTCTATTCTATTCTGCATTGTATTGTATTTTATTCTAGTTTCTATTCTATTCTGCACTGTACTGTATTCTACTCTAGTCTATCCTGATCTGGTCTAATTTCTTTTTTGTTTTGTTTTGTATTACACTGTATTCTGGTCTAATTTCTATTCTGTACTGTACTGTACTGTACTGTACTGTATATTCTATTCTATTCTATTCTGGTCTAATTTCTATTCTATTCTGGTCTAATTTCTATTATTCTATTCTATTCTATTCTATTCTATTCTATTCTATTCTATTCTATTCTATTCTTCTATTCTATTCTATTCTGCATTGTATTGTATTGTATTGTATTATCTATTCCTATTCCATTCCATTCTATTCCTATTCTATAATCCAGAGGCCCCCAACCTTTCGGGCACCAGGGACCAGTTCCGTGGAGAGAGATTTTTCCGTGGACCAGAGAGTGCGTGGTTTTGTGTGCTGCCTGCATCCCATGGAGGGGGCTTTGCTTGTTTGTGCGGACCGGTTGCTGGCAGGCCGCGGCCCAGTACTGGTCCACAGACCGGGGCTTGGGGACCCCTGCTATAATCTATCCCTATTCCTACCCTATCAAAGAGAGGAGCCACAGGGACAGCGCGACCCAGCTGAGATGGGTAGAAGAATGAGGCCCTTGGCTCATCACGGAAAAGGAGACGTGACCCGCAACCAATACCTCCCCCTGCGCAGGTGTCTCTGCTCTGAATGTCCTTGCGGAGAGGCCCCTCCCTCCCTGCCCGCCGAGGATGCTTGAGAAGCGGGATACCCGGGCTTGCCGCCTGCCAAGAAGCGCCCGGAGCCCACGGGAGCAGGGCATGTGGTGCCAACGTGTCTCTTTCCCTCGCGGCCTCCCCTCCTGCCGGCTCGCTCACTCACCAGGCTCGGTCATGTACAGCAGGCGCTCGGCGCTCTCCTCGGGGGCCTCCCTCCGGATCACCCGGATGGCGTGATCCACCACGAAAAGCTTTCGGATCTTCTCCCATTCGTCGGGCCATATCAGAGCTACACTGTGCCAAGAAGCAGTGCCTGCTGTCTCTCTCAAAGGCCAACCGCGGCCCCTCGGCCTCCGGACACCCCGGGAGGGCCGCACCCCAAAGAGACGGGTCGCCAGGGAGGGATCGAGGAGGCCTGGTGCAAAGGCCCTCTGGGCTGAGTGAGTGTGTGTATCCTATTCTGCTGGAGCCAGAGAGAGAGACACACACACACAGACACCCCTGCACCGGAAGAAGGAAGACACTCACAGTTTAGAGTCTTCTTTGGTCATGGACGCAACGGTGAACATCAGCCCTCCGTGGGGGCAGAGCAGTTCCCGGTTTCCAACGGAAGAGACGGGGCTGCATCGGGTGGGCCTCCTGGTGGAGGGCAAGAAAAGGGGGGGGGCATGATGTTGCGGACTACGTTTGGCCAGTGGAAATTGCAGGGGGTGGGGTGGGAAGCGTGCGAGTCCAAGGGAACGGCCGGGGAGAGAGGAGACGGAGAAAGGAGCGGGCGCCCGCCAGAGAACTGGAGAACCGAGGGTGTGGAAGGGATGGAGAAGCCCGAGCTTGGTGGTTCTCTTTGAGACGTTTCATAACCCAACTAGGAAACATCTTCAATGGCAGGAGGGACTGGGAGAGGAGGAGGAGGATGACTGTGGGGTCTTTGGTGCTCTCTGAGCTGGGTTGTTTTCTTTTTCTTTTTCATATGTAAGATACTTTTAATAAAATGAAATAAATATACACACGACTTTTGGTGTTGCTCGCCCATTTTCCCTATCACTGTATCCACACTCCTTCTTCTCTCCCTTCTTTCTCCCTTTCTTCTCTTCCCTACTTCCCTCTTCTTCCTCCCCTCTTCTCTTTCCTTCCTTCTCCTCTTCTCCTCCAACCTTCCTACTTCCTTCTCCCCTCCTTTACTCTTTTCTCTCTCCTCTCCTTTCTTCCCTCTCATCCCTCTTCAGATACAATTCAGGGGTAACGTCCGAACAACTCCTCTCTCCAAATTTCCCTATCTGTATTATATACGATAAGGTTAATTTTCTCTTACATTAATGCTTCTATTTATCTAACCTTCTCGGTATATACTTCTATAAATTTATTTATTTATGAGACTTATATACCGCTTTAAGTGCAAGCACTCTCTAAGCGGTGTACACCAGTAAGCAATGTATATATATATATATATATATATATATATTTACATTGCCCCCAACAACCTGGGTCCTCATTTTACCTACCCCGCAAGGATGGAAGGCTGAGTCCACCTTGAGCCGGTGAGATTTGAACTGCTGACCTGCTGAACACAGTCAGCTAAAGTGGCCTGCAGTAGTGCACTCTAACTGCTGCGCCACCTCGGCTCCTCCAAGTTATACAACCTCCAAGTTATTCAATACTGTGTCGCCTGGGTCTCAGCTGGGTTGTTTTCTTGCAGACATTTCATGAGCCAACTGGGTAACATCATCAGGGCTAGAGGAGGAGAAGGAAGGCAGCTCACCTCACAAACTTCCGCCATTCCTCCACAAAGAACCTGGAGACCACGTAGAGCTCTCCCACCTCCTGGGGAAAGAGAGTCATCATTCAGGGCCCCAAGGATCCCAAGAGGAGGCCTGGGACTCAAGGAGGCTGCAGCAGAGCTTAAGCCTGGATGGGGATGGGGAGGGGAGCAAAGCCAGGGGGACTCCAGCTTGGCCAAAGCTTGCCTGCCTCCTCCCAAAGGACCACACAGGCCTCTAGGCTGCACAAGGTGTGTGTGTGTGTCTCTGTGTGTGCACACTCAGACCGACGGAACTTCAGCAGGTTCTGTTGCTTGCACAGCCCAGCTAAATCTTCTGCTCCGGCTGCTGCTCTACAGGGCTGAAGGGGGGAGACCCTTGCCCGGCGGTACTTGAGTCACTGCCCCCCCCCGCATATCCTGGTCTCCTCACCTCAGGCCAGGTGCTGAGGCAGGGCCGGCTCTTGTCCTGGAAGAGGTGGGGCAGGCTGGCCTTCTGCTCGTTGGCCATCATCTTGTGGAGGGCTTCGTTCTCTTCCCCTTCCCGCTCCAGGATCTGCGGAAAGACAAGCCCTGGGGTCACGGGCCTCCTCCTGGAGGGGCGAGGGTCTGCTTTTAGGGGGGGGGGCTCAGCCTTCCAGGAGTGCCCTACTGCTGGAGTTGCAATCTTGCGACCTCCAAAGGCCGGGAGGCAACTGAGACTAAGCAATTTTGGGGGGAGGGGGGGTATATCCCCCCTCTAGGCCTCAAGCCCCCTCCCCCAGGAAGAAACACACACCCCCCCCCCAATGCCTTCCTGGAGCAAGGCTTCGGCCCCGACTCCAGAGCCGGTCTCCATCTTGGGTGCAAGGCAGAGGCCTCCGCAGCTCCTCACTGTGCTGACTTGGGGAGGGGGGGCTTTCCTCTCCCTCCCTCCCTCCCCGATGCATCTCCCCCCCGCACCTTGCACTGCAAGCAGGAGTCTCTGCCGCTGGGGAACTCCGGGGCGTTGCGGAAGTAGCGCTGCAGCTTCTCCCAGGCTTCCCTGCAGACCACGCGCCTCTCGTTCTCCAAGATGCAAAGGTTGCCTGCGGGTGGAAGGGGGCAGAGGAGCTGACCGGCTGTCCGAGGGGAAGCAGCGGGGCAGAGCCTGACCCCAGTCACCCTTTGGTCACCCCCCCCCCAACGGCGTGGGGACCCCCCCCAGAGCAGGAGACCCTCCCCGCCAGGGAAGTGTGGCCGCACTCCTAGGACACCCCCCCTTCACGTTGGAACTGACCACAAAATGGGTCGCTGGAAGGAGAGAAGGTCAGGGGGGGAGGCAAGGAAAGCGTGGCCATGCCCAAGACCCTCAGGACCACCATCCTCCCCATCCCACCCCCCAAAGCATCCTTTCTGGATCTCCCCATTCAGATGCCCAAATGCCAGCCGGCTGGGGAGAAACCAGGCCCCTGTCCTGTGCCCCTCCCTCCTGCAGCAGCAGCAGCTGACCCCCCCCCCCGGCTGGCTCCACCAGCACCCCCAAAATTAGGAGCCCCTCCCAGCTTCCCCCTCCGAGCGGAGCGTGCACGGGGTAAAAAAACAAGGGAACATCGGGAGGAGCCCGCTGCCACCCAGCTCCTTCCGGAGCAGTCGCTAAGGTTACAGGCCAATTACGAAGGAGGCAGCCGGCAATTAAGCCGAGGGGAACCTACTTTGGTTTCTGCCGGCACAAAGGAGTCCTTAGAGTCAGAGAGAAACACCTACCCGGGCTCCCTGAGGATGTGCCGGCAGGGGCGGCAGAGGTGTGCGTGCAGGCGGCACGACACACCTGGCTGTGCCCCACATGGAATAACCCTCCTGGCGCATCACAGGCTAGTTGAGACCAGGTCAAGGGAAAGTCTAGAAGGGTGTGTGTGTGTGTGTGTCCTGCTTCAGGACCTCACTTGTTTCCTCCCAAACGTTTTTTTGGGGAAAAATAATAATAATTAGCCTCTAAAGCAGAGCCCTCCCCCAATCTTTTGGGCACCAGGGACCGGTTCCGTGGAAGAGAGGAAGGTGCGTGGTTTTGTGTGTTGCCTGCACCTCGCGGATGGGGCTTTGCTTGTTTGTGTGGACCGGTTGCTGGCATGCCGCGGCCCGGTACTGGTGCACGGACCGGGAGTTGGGGACCCCCTACTCTTCTCCCTCCAGGTGCTGCACTAATCCTGCTGGCTTAGAGGAGGCTGAGGCCCCTGTAACAATGGGGGGTGTCCCTCCTCCTCACTGGGGTCCACCATCCTCTATATTGTTCTGTTTTGTTCTATCTCTCTCTGTTCTGTTCTTATTCTATTCTTATTCTATTCCATTCCACTCTACTCCATTTTCTCTTTCTATTCTATTTTCTTATTCTATTCTATTCTATATTTTATTCTTCCCATATTCTATTCTATTCTTTCCATATTCTATTCTTTCCATATTCTATTATATTCTATTCCATTCATTTTTTTCTTTTCTATTCTATTCTACTCCATTCCATTCATTTTCTATTCTATTTCTATTCTACTTCTATTCTGTTCTATTCTATTCTTATTCTATTCCATTCCACTCTACTCCATTTTCTATTTCTATTCTATTCTCTTATTCTGTTCTATTCTATTCTATTCCATTCCATTCCACTCCACTCCATTTTCTATTTCTATTTCTATTCTATTCTATTCTCTTATTCTATTCTATTCTATTCTATTCTATTCTATTCTATTCTATTCTATTCTATTCTATTCTATTCTATTCTATTCCACTCCATTTTCTATTTCTATTTCTATTCTATTCTATTCTATTCTCTTATTCTATTCTATTCTATTCTATTCTATTCCATTCCACTCCATTTTCTATTTCTATTCTATTCTATTCTATTCCATTCCATTCCATTCCATTCCACTCCACTCCATTTTCTATTTCTATTCCTATTCTATTTTCTTATTCTTGTCTAATTTCTATTCTATTCTGCATTGTATTGTATTCTATTCTATTTTATTATCCCTCCTCCTCACTGTGATCCACCATCCTAGGGGCCGCAGTCTGGGGGGAGGCAGGGGCAAGGCAAAGGAACCTGGACGAGCAGCAGAAGAAATAGCATTTTCAAGTGGGGGGGGGGGGAATGCCTTGGGTGGGATCTGGGGCATGATCACAGCGGGGGGGGGCATCTCTGGTTCAGCTAAAGAGTGGAATTAGGAGGGCCTGGCAAGAGGTGTGTTCCACACACACACACACACACACACACATACCCCAGCCACAAAGATGCGAGAGTGTTTCCAGCCAAGATAGACAGATGTTGGCAGGGAGGTGAGCGCGTGCCCTGGGGATGCCTGGGTCAGTCTGACCAGGAGAAACGGCGCTTCCCGGATTTGGATGACACAACGGCTGGATTCACACCCGAGGGAGGGAATCCCTTCTGCTGCTAGAGTCCCCCCCCCCTCCCGCTCACCGTGGGGGCACACAATGTCTTCGTTGAACTTCAGCTCCTCTTCCTCTCGTTTCTCCACACTGGGCTCTTCTGCGGAGGAAAAAAAGCAGGGGGGGGGGAACCAAGTCAGAAGACACCCCCCCTTACAACACGACAAGGCGGGGACTCCATGGCCCTCCCTCCCCAGAACAGGCAGGCCGACTGCACTCTGGAGCCAGCCTGCCTTCCATCTCTTTTCTTCTTCCTTCTTTCTTCTTTCCTTCCTTCCTTCCATCTCTTTTCTTCTTTCTTTCCTTCCTCCCATCTCTTTTCTCCTTCCTTCCTTCTTTCTATCTTTTCTTTCTTCTTTCCTTCCTTCCTTCCATCTCTTTTCTCCTTCCTTCCATCTCTTTTCTTCTTTCCTTTCCTTCCATCTTTCTCCTTCCTTCCTTCTATCTCTTTTCTTCTTTCTTCCTTCCTTCCTTCTATCTCTTTTCTCCTTCCTTCCTTCCTTCTTTCTATCTTTTCTTCTTTCTCCTTTCCTTCCTTCCATCTCTTTTCTTCTTTCTTTTCTTCCATCTTTCTCCTTCCTTCCTTCTATCTCTTTTCTCCTTCCTTCCTTCTTTCTATCTCTTTTCTTCTTCCTTCCTTCCATCTCTTTTCTCCTTCCTTCCTCTCCTTCTTTTTCCAACTTTTTTCTTCTTCCTTCCTTCTTTCCATCTTTTCTTCTTTCCTTCCTTCCATCTCTTTTGTTCCCTCCCTCCCTCCCCTTCCCTCTCTCCCCTTTTTCATCTCCTTCTTCTGCCTTCCTTTGCCTCTTTACCCCTCCTTCCTCCCTTCCCTTCTTTCTTGTTCTCTCCTTTCCTCCCTTCCTCAAACTCTCCCTTCCTCTGAAAGCGGAGGTCTGCAGGCCCAGGGGGGCTGTCACCCACAGCCTTCCGTGGAGCCTTGACAAGGGACGCCCAGTTTGCTCCGCATTTCTCCCCAGCTCGAAGCGGGAGGACCAGGGGATGAAGCCGAATCCTTGACCCACCCAGAAAGCCTTTGGGCCTGAAACAAGCGCTGGCCTGGAGCAACTAAGCCAGCAGTCGTCCCTCTGGAGGGGGCCAGGCCTGCCTCGACTAAGAGGGGTGTGTGTGTGTGTGTGTGTGTGTGAGAGAGAGAGAGAGAGAGAAAGAGAAAGAGAGAGAGAGAGAAGAGAAGGGGGGGGGAGAGAGTTACCTCTCTCCTTGGCGTCGCCGTTCATCTTGCCGTTGCTCGGCTCGGCTTCTTCATCCGAGTCGTCCAGCTGCTCCAGGGCCAGCTGGCGCCAGCTCCGCAGGGAGGACTTCCCTACCCAAAACCCATCACTCCTGCGGGGCGAGAGGGGCGGCTCACAGCCCAGGAGGCGAGGAGGGGGCAGGGGAGCATGTGGAATGGGTTTTCCCGCCTCTTGCTGCCCCAGGGTGGGGGGGAGCCCCTACTCACCCCTTGACCACGGCTTTGAGGAGATTGCAGACGGCCTTGTAGTCCTCGCTCAGCCGGTTCTTCAGCCGCAGCACCCGGCACCTCTCCACCACGCAGTCCTTGCAGAGGGCTTTCCCTGCAGGAAGAGGCCAGAAGACGGAGGTTGAGGGCAGCGGCGGGTGTGTGTGTGTGTGTGTGTCTTCCCTCCTCGGCCCTCCAGCCAGGGGAGCCTCTGCCTTCCCACCGCCCACCCTGTGGAGCAGACCCAAGCGGGCAGGAAGGCCGAGGCAGCCTCCCGGAGCGTTTGCGGGCGGGTGCGAACAAGCGAGGATTCCTCGGGCCGCACCTCGCCTCTCCGGAGGCAGCCCCTCAAACGCGCTGGGGAAGGTGCGAGGAAACCCGACAAGCGTGGCAACACACCACGGAGGTGCAACGCCAACTTGGCGAGAGTGTGAGCAATCGCACCTCCTGCAGAGCTGAAGGTTCCCCCTGTGCCCCCCCCCGCTTTGCAAGAGCATAAGCAGCTCCATCTGCCTGGCGCTCCTTTCTCCCCCCCCTTCCTCGCTCCCCCCCCCAAACAGACAGAAGGAGGATGAGGAAGAGGAGGCTGGCCTCGTCCAGGAAACCCTCCCCCCCCACCTTCCAGGAACTCCCCCTCCCCACCTGTCAGCCGGGGTCCTCCCCCGTATCGCTTGTAGAAGTAGTCGGCCACGTCCTCCGAGACCCGCTTGACGGTGGGGATCTTATCGGGGTGCAGCTTGCCGTGGGAGCACAAGCAGGCCGTGTTGTCGATGGCTTTGGGGGGCGTGGATTCGTCCAGCCACTGCTGCAGCCATTCCAGGGAGACAAAGTCGTAGGGGCAGCCTGGGACGGAGGGAGGGAGGGGCAGAGAGCCAGAGCGTCAGCACCCCCGTCTCCTCCTCCTCCATCGCGCCTCCGAACCGGCCACGTCTCCGTGCAAGTTAAGATCACACATCTGCCCTCCCCTTCAAACGACTGATCAAAGCAACCCGCCCACCCAACTTTCCCTGCTAGGCGACAATGTCCCCAGAGTCAAGTCGTGTTCGATTACACTCCTGCCCCCTGCCATGTGGTGGTTGGGGTAAGGGGGGAGCAACTCAGACCGAGGGATCCGACCCTCCTTCCCCACCAGCCGTGCCCACGGCCACAGCACAGCCTCTGCCCGGGGGCCCCCCTCTTGCGCCAGTGCACCCGCCCTGCTGGCCGAGCTGACGCCCGCCAAAGCGAGGGGCCTTTAAGAGACACCCTAATATGGACCCACACAGACGCACACACACACACTCTGCCCCCAGGGAGCAGGCCATGTTAGGTGGTTTGGCTCTCTCGGGAGAGGAGGAAGCTTTCAAACCCCGGCACACCCCACTTCTGCCATCGGGACAGAGGCCAGAGCTGCCCCCCCTCGCCCTCCCCCCCTCCCCCCTGCCCCAGAGAGGCCCTAAAGAAAGAGAGGTGTAATTGGAAGGTCTTACAGACCAGCTTCGGCAGGCAACTTCTGGTAGAGCTCCTTCACCTCTTCGTGCTTGACCAGGCCCCGCGCCACGCTTTGCTTCCGCATCTCGGCCATTTCCTGGCACCACTCCTCAAACCTGCTGTTGTCGTGTTCCACCAGCTCCTGTAGGAAAGCTAGAAGGGGAGAAAGCCCAGGAGAGGGATGGCAAGAGGCACCGGCCAAGCCCGAAAGACCAGGAGGCCTGGCTAAAGGTGCCTTCACACAGACACACACACAGACACACACACACACACAGCTAAGGGAGGAAGCCCCCCCCCTCCTCTAAACCCTTCCTTCAACTCAGGGGGAGGGCAGAAAAAGGCTTCTTCCCCAAACCGGCATGTGCCGGTTCCAAATTGTGAACCAGGCAGCCGAAGGGCTGCTTCCACCCTCGTGGGCTTCCGGAGGAGCGACGTGTTCGACGTGCTCGTGCCCGCGTGGTCGAGGCGTGGGGGTGGGAGAACCAGCCAAGAGGGGCCCGGGGATTGGGGGCAAAACGCAGGGGCCTCACCTGGGATCTCAACAGCCAGGGACTTCTCCCGCGACTGCAACCTGTACACCAACATGTAGGCGTTTCGGGAGCGGTAAATCCCCTTCCCGCACTTGGGCCTTCGAGACTGAGATTTAGAGGGTTCTGCAGGGGGGCGGAAGGCAGAGGGGGCAAGTGCTGGGGACCCCCGTTTTCCCCCTGCCTCGCTCCTCTCCCCAGAGACGCTCTCGGCCAGGCAGGCGGTAGCGAGCTGAGGAGAGGGGGTCTGGTGCCGGCCCCACAGGCCGAGCCGGGCCCACCCGGGTTCGGCTCAAGGAGAGGCTCATTTACCCAGTTCCTCTTCCGCCCCCAGCTGCAGCTTCCTGCCTTCCATCTTCTCAATCTCTTCGTCGTTAAATCTGTACCACTCCCCCGTCTGGGGGTCCTTCACGTGGGCGATGTAGTGGCCCGAGTAGGCGCTCACCCCTCGGTGGATGAGGATCGCACTCAGCTCGTAGACGAAGACACTGGCTGGAAACACAGCAGGCCGTGCTCGAGGCTTGGAGAATGGCGGGACTTCCCCCCCCCAATCCTCATTTTTCCCCCAGCCACGGGCAGCAGCAGTAAGTCCCCCCCTCTTCCCCATAACACCCCAGGCGACAGCCACACAGTCACCCTCCAGGTGCACACAGAAGGCGGGAGAAGGTCCCTGACCCACAATTCGGGGAATGGGACCCCAAAGAGAAGGAAACGCACAGCTCTGCCCACCTTTGTCTTCCATGAAGGGTTCCAGGTCCAGCAGCTCGGAGAACTCGATGTAAGCGTTCAGCTTCTTCTTGTGCCCCGTTTGCCTAATGTGGGAAAGAGGATGGCTTTGATTCACCCCTTTCCCACCTGGCGGTGCCCACACAAGGGAACGGCGGCAAGAGCAGAGCACACCGTCCCTTTCCACATCAAGAAGGCCAGCTGCTGAACTGGGAACCAGGAGATTCCCTGGTGCCAGGTGCCCCTCAGGCACCGAAGCCATCTGGGCGACTTTGGGCCTGCCTCTTTCTCTCAACCCAACCCAGGGGGGGTGAGATGGATCGCCTTGAGTTGCCCAAAGAAAGGCCAGGACACAATAAGTAAGATAAACATCTGTTGAGCTGCTGCCTGGGGGCCTTATTCTGAAGCTACTATCAAAGAGAGAAGCAACATGGGATTAAGGAGAAAGATCCTGGCTGTGAGGACAATGAACCAGAAATCATGGTTTTTAAGAAGAGACTGGACAGTCACTTGTCTGAGATGGTATAGATTCTCCTGCTTGAGTGGGGGGCTGGGCTAGAAGACCTCCAAGATCTGCTTTTGCTTCTTCTATCTCAATTCTAATTATAATTAATTCTAATTTTAATTCTATTCTATTCTGCATTCTGTTCTATTCTTTCCATATCCTATCCTATTCTATTCTCATTCCATCTATTCTATTCTCCCTTCCAACATCATCATCATTAGTCTATTCTAATCTTATTCTATTCTATTCTATTCCATTCCTATTCCATATTTTCTATTCTATTCTATTCTATTTCCATTCCATATTCTATTCTATATTCTATTCTATTCCTATTCCGTATTTTCTATTCTATTCTATTCTATTCTATTCTATTCTATTCTATTCTATTCTATTCTATTCTATTCCCATTTCATATTCTATTCTAATTCTACTACTCTACTCTACATTCCCTTATTCTGTTCTGTTCTATTCTATTCTATTCTATTCTATTCTATTCTATTCTATTCTATTCTATTCTATTCATTATTACTTCAGGCCTAGCCTGTTCAATTCAAGCCTTTTGGACAGGGATCGGATTCCATTTTAAAAAGGGCCTTTTCAACCAGTGGTGCGTGTTATCACTGGTGGTACTTTGGCACCTGGCAGGTGGTACGCGACCTAGACAAGTGTAGTTGGGGGGGGGGGAAATGAGCTGAAGTGGCAGCAGGGCCAGAGGTGTGGGGGGAAGAGTCAGCTGGAGCTGCGATGTTGCTGGGGCTCTGCTGAGCGCCCAGGATCAGCCCGCACGGCTCCAGCTGATCGGAGCTGTGTGCAGTGGCCAGCCGGGGAGTGGATGACTGCATGAGGGGAGTGAGGCTGGGGTAGTGACCCACGCTGGAGCTCTCTGTGGGGCACACCAGGAAGGGTTAAAGGAGGAGGAGGGGGGAGAGAGGAGAAGATATAAAAGGAGCTTTTGACAAGATAGGGAAAGGGGGAAAAAAAAAGAGTACGGGACAGAGAAGGAGATGGAGAAAGGGAGAGGGAGAGAGGGAAAAAGGGAGGGGGCTCTGAGAGAGAGAAAGGAGAAGGAGACAGGAAGAAGGGCCGACCAGCCACTTGACCACCAAGCTAGTGGTGCACATTAATAAACATGGAGAAATTCATCATACGTCTGTGAGCGCAAAACGAAAGCGATTCCGCAAAGGAACCACCAACCGAAGAAATTACAATCGATGTTTTTTTTTTCTTCCCTTTTTTGTTCAGCATGTTTGTGACACCTAGCTAAGCACGGCGGACACTCGGATATTGTCGTGTGCTCAAAGTACCACAAAAGGTGGGAAAGCCCTGCGTCTACAACGAAGGCTTTGGGGGCGGGGGCGAGAGGCGGCTGACCTATCGAACACGAAGCGCATGAGCTGGAGGTTGAGGGTGCAAGGCAGGCTGAGCAGGCGGATCCTCCTGGTGGCGTTCTGCTTGCTCTGACAGGTTTCGCAGAAGTAGCGGTTGTCCCCTTCCAGCTTCTCTTCCTGGCCAGGGAAAAACAGAGCAAGACCGGCCGCCGGCTTGAGGAGGCACCCCGACCTGCCTCGCAGCAGGCCCCAAGGCCATCAAGTCCCACCAACCAGCCCGGGGGGGGGGCGTGACCCTCCAGGTCCCGAGGCTGCCCCCAACCCGGAGCAGCAGTGTTTGGCCCTTCCCCTTCGTGGACAGGTACCTTTAGGAACTCGGTGATGCAGTCCGACAGCTGCTTGTGGCCCTGGATGTTTAACTCGAGCTCGTAAAACTTGGAGATGAGTTTGGACTCTCGGCCACACTGGTTGCACCTGGAGAGCAAAGCAGAGACGGACGTGAGCATCCGAAGCCCCGTCCTCTCGAGGCAGGACGAGGCGGCGAGAAGCCGCTGCGCGGGGATAGCCTTACACGGTGACGTAGGCGTACTCTCCGCAGAACTGCTTCTGGACGATGTCGCACACGTCCGGGTTTTTCTGAGAAGACAGGGTGTCCTCCAGCAGGGACATGAACAGCTTGGAAAACTCCTGAGCGTCCTAGAAGAACAGCAGCAGGATGTAAATCCGAGGAAACAGGACAGGGGTACACCGCCATCTCCTTTGAATCCCGTTAAGGGAGGTATTGTCCAAAAAATCTCCTCCCAATGGAAAGGCCGCAATTTCTCGCTGGGACTTTGTGGCCAAAGAGCTCAAGCAAATGGAGCAGGGCCTTATTTTTTCCGCAGTCAAAGGGCTCCTGGTTTTCCTCAGGGCGGGAACAGCTTTGTTAAAACGTGCAATTCTGAGAAACAAGAAAGGCAAAAGAGAGGCGTTGAGCCAGGTGCCTCGAACCTTACCTGTTGCTGGCCTGTGTCCAAGCCCAGTGCTTTCACAAACCCCGATGGGTCAATATATCGCCTTTTGCTGTTCTGGAGCAAGGCAAACAAGTACTGGAGGTGCTCGCAAATAGTCTGAGGTTCGTAATCTGCCAAGGGACAAAAAAGGCTTGATTAAAAAGCACGAGGTAGACCAGTGGTTCTCAACCTTTTTAATGCCGCGACCCCCCAACCGGTCGTAATTCGAGGACTACTCAACCGGGTGTCAAATGGGTGTCATGTGGGGTGTGTGTGGCCAGGGTGGGTTTGGCCTACTGGCTGGTCGTGGCCAGCTCTACATCGTTCGCGTCAAGGGTGCCTGTGAGGGCCTGGGCAGGAGTGGGATAGATCTGAGGGTCTTTGGCAGAAGGGGGTGGGATCAGGGCAAGTGCCAAGGCATGGTCCACTGGAGGAGCCTCACTGTTCCTCTCAGGCCATGCAGGGGGAGGGGGCTTATGGAGCTGAATGCGTTTCAGCACAGATGGCCACCACAAAATTGCACATTGGCTCCCAGCTGGCCTGGGCCAGGGCCAAGGCAGAGAGGGCCGTTCCCTCACTGTTTCCAGGATGGCTTCGTGGGCCACATGAAACCACTTCGTGGGCTGCATCTGGCCGATGGGCCTTGTGTTTGACCTGTCTGCTCTATACGGTACAAAGCAGGGGGACAGCAAGGATACTGAGGCCGGGTGAACCATTTGGGGTTCAAAGCAGGTGAATCTTAGCCCCCCCAAATACCTTTGCTCTCCGCCGTGACATATTCAGGGCGGGCCACTGGACACAGATACAGGGCCTGCCGGAGCTCCAGATTCAGGAACCACATCTGTAGGAAAGTGTTGACGTAGCAAGTGGCCCCCAGGTTGGTGAGGCCTACGAAGGCATTCTGGAGGGGAAGGAGAAGGGAGAGAGGTCATCAGGGGTGAGGCAGCCAAAAAAAGCAGAGTGCTCCAGGATGGCCATTTTAGCGAGCTCTCCTCTGGAGAACATTCTTCTCCTTCGACAATGGCGGAATTAGTTCCTGCAGAAAGCAGACGCCCCAAGCATTTTAAGAGAACGTCAGTGCATCCTTTACTTTTCATTTCTGCAGCCGCGACTTCAATGGGTCTGTTCTTCCGTTATCTAAGCGCACGGGACACGCTCCGCTTTGAAATGCTTTTCTATCTCGCTGTCCTTAAAATGCTCAGCTATTTTTTTTAAAAAACAACAACCCCGAAACAAACAGAAAAATATACCCAAATCAAATACGTTTGAGGAAAAAAAAAATCCAAAAATGACCGCTTAACTTGTACCAACTCAGAAGTGGCTTCCTGTCGCGGGAGAAACTAGACTCACAATTTCACAGCTTTGAGGATACATAAAAGATCCGGTTGAATGAAACTTTGTGTCCCCCCCCACCGCCCCCAATCACCACCAAAGCTCCCTCCCTGTGATACCCAATTGATTCCCAGGCCCAAATTGGATACTTTGCAGCCAACCTCTGTAGATCTTGGGAACCAAGGCAATTTCAGCCTTGGCAACTCTGGGCAACAGACTTAAGCACCAATTGCAAAGCGAGGAGGTGCATTGGAGGCAGGCGACCCTTCTCGGTCACGCCGGAAGACCGTCGGCGTACCTTTTTTCTCCTCTCAAAGTTGGGATCGTCGATGTTGTGAAAGGTGTTCTCATCGATCTCTCCCAGCCAAACGTGCTCTCCGATCCCCACCAGGCAATTGGGGTTCCCTCTGCAATTTCTCCTGCAGAAGCAAAGGCACACAGGTTGAGTCGTGTTCCCGCCCGACGCCATGTCCAGGAACGATTCAGGTTGCCCGTTTGCTAGCATATCCCCCACCTGGTTCTAAGATCTCTTTATTTCTGGGAGGAAATAAGAGATGGAGATGGTGGATTCTGAAGAGAGCTTTGAGTGGTGCCTTTAGAGCAGTGTTTCTCAACCTTGACAATTTTAAGGCATGTGGACTTCAACTCCCAGAATTCCACAGCCAGCAATGCTTTAGAGACAGCAATAGCAATAGCACTTAGACCTATATACTGCTTCACAGTGCTTTATACTCTCTGAGCCACGGGTGTCAAACTCACCGCGTCATGTGACGTATTGTGACATATCGCAACTGTTTTCTCATTGACGTATTCTGACATATCGCAACTGTTTTCGCATTGCTGGAGATGGGGTGGGCACAGCCTCCGCATGATGCAACCAGCCTGCAGGCCGGCAGTTTGACACCCCTACTCTAAGCGGTTTACAGAGCTGGCCTCTTGCCACCCAACAATATGGGTCCTCATTTTACCGACTTCGGAAGGAGGGAAGGCTGAGTCAACCTTGAGCTGGTCAGGATCCAACTGCTGGCAGTGGGCAGAGTTAGTCTGCAATGCTCCATTCTAACCACTGTGTCACCACAGCTCTTAATGCAACATCCAATCAGCTACAGCAATAGCACTTAGACCTATATACTACTTCACAGGGCTTTACGGCCCTCTCTAAGCGGTTTACAGAGTCAGCCCACAGCCTCCAACAATCTGGCTACTCATTTTATTGACCTCAGAAGGACAGAAGGCTGAGTCGACCTTGAGCCGGTGAGCATTGAACTGTCAAACTGCAGGCAGCCAGCAGTCCACAGAAGTAGCCTGCAATACTGCATTTTAACCACTGTGTCACCAGGTTCATTATGTGTTACACACCCCAAACCACATCCTACAAAGGAAGCTTTTTCAAAAGCTGGATGTTTCAGCTTCACTTAAATCAGGACAAATCTGCAATGAAGACAGCTCTTGCTAGTCCCTGACAACATAGTATTTTGATATTGTTCCTAATCCTCTGAAAAACAGAGTCTCCATCCTCAGCGTCCGTAGCTAAAGGATACAAATCCAAGGAGGCAGGAGTAAAAATTGGGAAAAAGTGAGGTGGAGACTGGCTTTGAAAATGATCATCATTTATTAATATAGATACCCACTCTAGTAGGCTGGGGGGAGATTTATACAATTTTAGGAAGAACTTCTAAACTAAAATTTTAAATCTTCAGGAATAGAGGCCATCTTGTAATTAGTGTCCTCCTTAATTCAACAGTATTATTTTGCAAGATCCTTATTGTGGCTATCTTTGTTAACAAGGCACAAATAATAAAAAATAAAACAAAGCACTGATAAAAATATAATAACTAGTGTTTGAATAGAGACAAAAATAGCCCTACTCCCACATACCCTGAAATTAGCAAAATACAAAAGTGGAAAGGCAGAGATGTAGCCCAGGCTTCCTTTTATGTAGCTGTTTTTTTTGTTTGTTTTTTGACAGCAAAAACAATAGTTCAGGGAGAGGATAACAGAAGCAAGCAAAGCTTGTCATTAGCTCCTACAGCTAGCAAAAGCAGGTGTCCTTGTAAACAATAACTGTGCTATTTTATCATTTATTAAAGACATTTTATTATGCTTCCCCTGCAGCTGCTAATCAATTGTGCGAAATAATTAATTAGTACAGTAAAAGCAATAATGGTCTTTTCCACCCAATGGGCAAATAATCATAAAATGTGTGTATTACAGCTATGCTAACCCACAAGGGTTGTCAAAACTTAATTAGCATGAAACAATATGCCACCCTGGCTTCTAACTGGGTGAATAAATAACTTAGGAGCTTGAACACACTTGGGAAGATTTTGTAGGATGCCGATTAAGGTGCAATACAGTTGCAGATTTGGGATTATTTGAAGGAAGGAAGGAAGGAAGGAAGAGAGAGAGAGAAGGAAGGAAGGAAGGGAGAGAGAGAGAGAGAGAGAGAGAGAGAGAAGTTGCCCCATTGGGCTGCTGTAGCACTGCCCTGCCTAGCAGGTGGTTCTAGATCGCAAGGGATCCCTACCCCTGAAGGGAATTTCTGCAGAAAGCCTTCAGACTTCAGATCCACTGATCTCTTTTTGGGGGCACCCAACCTCAGAGCTGTGAGCAGCAGCAGAAAGAAAGGAAAGGGCACCACGTGGTGCTCCCGAGGGAGGACAAACCTCACAGATTTGCCACTATCAAACGAAAAGGGATGGAACCAAAGGCCCCAATGGGCAGGGGGGGGGGACGTCTGCCATGATACCCATGGGGCACCGCCACCCCTCTGGCAGGATTTTGACACCTGCTGTTAGGCTCCGCCCCACCCACAGCCCCGCCCCCAGGATGGCACCTGTGGTGACCCTTGCCCCGCCCCCCCCGCCGTTCCACGAGACTCCAAGCTTTTGCACGGGAGGCAGGCCGGCCGGCAGGAGGCCGCGCTCTCCCGGCCGCCTCCCCGCAGGGCCGTGGCCTCACCGGCAGGCGCCCCGCTGGCAGGGCTCCAGCCCGATCCGGTAGGCCGCCTCGATGTGCTCCTGCGTGACGGCTTCGGGCGGCACCGTCTCCGTCCAGCGCCAGGCCGCCTTCTCCAGCTGCAGCCGCGGAGCCATCCCAGGACCGGCCCGAGCAGGAACAGGGCCGCTGCAGGGCGAGGCCGGAAGTGGAAGAGGGACCGGGCGACCCCGGAAGCGGAACCGGCCCCAAGCCCTGGCGGCCTCAGGCCACGCCTCTCGGGGCGCGCGCGGGGCGACTCGCGCCACCTGGCCCCCCCTCGGGCTCTCGGCTCTGACGTCACGCCAACGGCTGCTGGGGGGGCGGGAAGGGCTTGGAGGGGCGTGGCCCGCGCGCTCCAATAGGGCGACGCTATCTCGGAAAAGGCTCCGCCTCCTTCCCGTGTCTTTCACCCCTCGCGGCGAAGATTTGAGCGGGCGAGGGAGACAAAAAAAAAAAAAAGCCGTGGACGAGCGGAGCATGCGCACAGCAAGCTCGCCTTTCTGAGGCGAAGCTACCCACAATCCCTTGCGCCTCCCCTCAGTTTTGTGTTTTTTTTGTGATGTAAATTAAAAGAAAAATGTACAATCACCAAGTTGAAAAAAAAAAAAGACAACAAAACGCCCTATATTTAATTGTGGGGATTCGGGAGGGAAAATACGAGGCACTTTTGCCCCTCCTAAGATGGCTACCCACTTGCTCTCGGGCGCGGCCCGTGCTGCCCCGACGTCCCCCCTCCCCGGGACCCTGTTTCCCCGCGGGCCCTTATTTCACGTGTTTATTTCTCATGCTAACGCGCGTCCACAAGTGGGCAAAGAGCCTCTGACCCCGATCTGGGCTGGGGATTGACGTTAGATTAGAAGAACCTCCGCGCCCGGGCAAGACTACAACTCCCAATAGGCTCCGGGGCTCGCACAGGAAGTGCCCCTCTCTGGTCCGGAAGCTGGCGGTGCAGAGGCGGGCACTCACTGCGGCCGGAGAAAACTACAACTCCCAGTAGCCCGCAGGCTCCAACCGGAAGCGCCTCCATCTGGTCCGGAAGCTGGCAGTGAACGGGCGCCAGACGCCTCTGGACAGACAGGCGCGTTCTCGTAGCTACGGACGAGCGAAGCGCCCGTTATTTATTGCCCATAAAAAAGAAAAACTGGCGAAGCCCCGAGCGAGCTGCGTCCTTCCCTTCTTATCACTTGTCTGAAAGGGTATATAGCAGGGGTAGTCAACCTTGGCTCTTTTATGACTCGTGGACTTCAACTCCCAGAATTCCTGAGCTGGCTCAGGAATTCTGGGAATTGAAGTCCACGAGTCATAAAAGAGCCAAGGTTGACTACCCCTGCTATATAGGTTCTGCTTGAGCAGGGGCTGGACTAGAAGACCTCCAAGGTCCCTTCCAGATTTCTATTCCATTCCATTCTATTCTCATTGTTCCGTTCCATTCCATTCTAATTCCTTTCTATTCTATTCTTCATTCCTCCTGTTAATATTAATGTGACCAACCGTCCTCCTTTAGGGAGGACAGTCCTTCTTTTGTACGTTCTGTCCTCTCTGGAAAAGTGTCCTCCTACATGTCTTCCTTTTCAATATTTGAAGACTAATCTGTAAATCTCCGTATTCAATCGATGCCAATCCGATCCGTTGCGTGTGATGTGTGACATATTTATATTTGACATGACGATTCATCAAGGCTTGGTACAGTGCAGAGAGACGCGATTATGAGACACATGCGCTCTGCACAGGAGAATTGTTTTGAAACAGTGCGTCATGTACAAGTGGCTTTGTTTACTTCTTACCGAAACACGACATGGCACACATGCACGCGTTAGGCTCACTTCCTTCTCAGTGAATATTCAATCATATGCAGGTGAGCACAATAATTGACATTTTATTAATTCATTATTTAATAATTTCCAAATATGTATAATTTTATTTACAAGTTTATTCGCTTATGTTATTGTTTCAGTTTTAATTTTATTTATTCATATATATTTTCCTTCAATTTATTTGTGTCCTTCTCATTGTAAAAAAGTTGGTCACCTTACTATTATTCTATTCTTATTCCCTTTATTCTATTCTATTCTGTTCTATTCCTATTCTTCATTCTTATTATTCTATTCTATTCTATTTCTATTCTAGTCATTCCTATTCTATTCTATTCTATTCTATATTCAATTCCATTCCAATCTTCCTTTATTCTATTCTATTCCATTTCTATTCTATTCAATATTCCATTCCGTTCCATTTCTCTATTCTATTCTATTCTATTCTATTCTATTCTATTCTATTCTATTCTATTCTATTCTATTCTATTGATAAGAGCAGGACACCCCCTCCTCACCCCAAAGAGGAAATATCTTGGCAAACACAGGAAGAACCCAATACAAACTAGTCTGATTCAGTGGCAGCCTGAGGCTAAATTAAACAAACACTAAACACACACTGGCTACAAGGAATGCAGAACCGGCTAACATCAATTAGGATTGACAGGATTAGAATAGAAAAACCAAAAGGTACACAACAATAAAATAATTAACACGGGAGCAAAAATTAACACCTTTTAGACAGAATTGAGAAGGAAATTAACCCAACAGTAGACACTGACCAACAAATCAGAAAAGACAAATTTAAACTCACCAATCAGAAATGACAATTTTGGAAACCATGAAAGGGTACAAGAACTCATGTTTAAGGACCATTCTGTCTAGCCAGCCGGGGATTCATGCTGAATTGTCACTCAACTTTAATCTCCGTGATTAAACATTTCTTTCCAGTAGCTGGCTTCACGTTCTATTTGTTCTCCTCTGCGCTACTTGGGAGAATCCCGGCTGGAACAGCCTGAATGGGGGAATTCCTCCCAACACTATTCTATTCTATTCTATTCTATTCTGTATTTCTATTCTATTCTATTCTATTCCATTCTAATTCTTCTACTCTACTCTACTCTACTCTTTATTCCCCTATTCTATTCTATTCCTCCTATTATTCTGTTCTTATTCTATTCCCTTTATTCTATTCTATTCTTCATTCCTATTATTGTATTCTTATTCTATTCTATTCCCTCTTTATTCTATTTCTATTCTTCATTCCTATTATTCTATTATTCTTATTCTATTCTATTCCATTCCATGCTATTCCATTCAATTCCATATTCTATTCTATTTCTATTCTTCTTTCCATATTCCATTCCATTCTACATTCTACTCTATTCTATTCATATTCTATTCTTTTCTATTCTATTCTGTTCTCTTCTGTTCTCTATTCTATTCTATTCTATTCTATTCTATTCTATTCTATATTCTATATTCTATTTTCTTTCTATTCCTTGGCCCGGGAGAGGTGCTGTAGCAGGGGGGGTCCCCGAAGGGGCCACATTTACAATAAAAGCATTGGATGAACCCTTTTTGTTTGACTCTGAAAAGGTTAAATCAAGGCAACTGGACCCGAGTTTTTTCCAAACTGAGATATTTCGTTACTTATCCAAGTAACTTCTGTAGTCAAAATGAGAATTTTGGGCAGTCAGGTAGCCACTGAAATGAACCAGCTCTTGGCATACAGACAGCAAGGCAGTTTCTCCACCAAAATTAAAAAAAAAAAAAAAAAAAGGCACGTGAAAATGAAGATTCAACCATCCAGGCCAAAAGGGTGAAATCGGGGCAACTGAATCGAAGTTGATTATAACTGAGACGTTTCGTTACTCAGCCAAGTGACTTCTTCTGTCAAAATGAGAATTTGGGTAGCCAGCTGGCCATTGGCACGAACCTGCTCTTGCCATTTCCTCCACCCAAATGAAAAAGCAACGTGAAAAATGAAGGTTCAATTAACCAGGCCCAAAAGTTATCTTGAGAAGGTTTCAATTGCAGCAACGGGACCAAAATGTATTAAAAGGTTTATTAATTTGACCTTGGAAGATGCTTTTGGCCTGGATGGTGGAATCTTCTTTTACGTGCTACTTTTTCGTTTTGATTTCCAAGCTGCGGGGGCCCCTGGGTGGGCTTTCCGCTCTCCGTCCGCAGAGCCCCTGGCCTCCTCCGCAGCTATCCTGCTCCCCACTGCAGGCAGGGCGAGGGGCTTGCTCGGGACAGCCAGCTCCTGGTCCCTGGCACCAAGCAGCTGGCATCTCGGGAGCCTGGCAGAGCCTGCTTCACTTGGAGAATTGAGTGGCCTGCCCCCCTCCAGAACGAGGCCCCATTCCTGACCTTGAAGATGGGGCACACACGCTCCCCACCCACCCAGTAGCCATGTCCCTGGATGCCCCAAACTGAGGGCACGGCGATTTCTTACAGAAGAGGCCCAAACTGGATTGCTGGACCTGGGGACGTCTTTCCTCCCTGATTCTGGGACCATTTTTCATCCCTCTGATCGGAATACACCACAATTGCAATGCCACTCAACAGGAAAAAAAAAAAAAAAAGCAAGTCAGTCTCTACAATTGTGGGGTTCAGCACCATTTATTAAGAAAAAGAAGTACAAGGGCAGGCGGGTGAGGGAAGCAGAGAGAGGAGCAAAGAGGGTCTCCAGGCTAAGCCCCCCCAATCCTGGACACGGGGGTTTGCCCAAACAGGCCCAGGACAGCCAGGCCTACACGAGAAGGGTGGGGCCCCGGCCGAAGTACAACCAGGCACCCCCAAAAGCCTGAGATGTTTGCTGGCCTCGGTGCGTGGAGGCCAGCTGGCAGGAGAAGAGAAGGAGGCCAGCTATCAGCAATCCTGTTCTGAGCAATGGAAGTTTGTTTGGACTTGGCTAGTTAAGCAAAGCTATAAAAGAACCCCTTCTTTTTGGCTCTGACCCACAGCAGGGGCAGGAAGGCAGCACCCCTCTGTTCTCCCCCCCCCCCAAAACAACCAGCCTCATTACCAGAGATTTTGCTGTGAGAAATAACAGCAGGCCAGAGGATGGGTGAGGGGATTGGCCTGGGAGATAGCGCGTGAATCCTTTAAGAGACACCCCTCATCCCTCAAAAATAAGGCACCGAAGCAACCCAAAGGCGATGGGACAGACCCCTCCCAGGGTGCAGCAGAGACCCCGAGAATCCCAGCCAGAGCCGGGCACGATCCAGGGGTTAAGGCAGCTGGCCTTGAGGACCCGCAGGTATAGGGCGAAGTGGGGTCCCGGGGGGGGCACCTGTCAGAAGCAATACAGCCGTGCAGGGCAACGAGGCAGAGACGGGGCTTCAGAAGGATCTGTCTCCTACTTGGCATTTGCTGGGCATGGGGCGTGTGCCGAGATGCCATCTTCCTGGGATCCTCTCATTGCCCCAGAGAGGGCAAGTGCATTGGTCAGTCACCGCCTGCCGGCCTGGCAGAGCCGGTCAAGCACAGAAGGCGTCTGGCTCACTCTTTCAGGGCCCGGTCTGTTTCTGGCATCCTTCTGCAGCTTCTGGCGCCCCGTGGAGGGTTGCCTGTTCCTCCGCCGTGCGGCTCCCTTTCTGCCCGCCAAGGACGCCGTACCCCTCCCCTTCCCCTTTTTGGCAGCAGCAAAGCACCGTTTTTCTCTTTCTTCCTTTTAAAAAATTTGTAATAATAATAATAAAAATAATAAAATAAGGATAATCAGCATAGATGTCTCTTCCTTGGCCCGATGACGGCAACGAAGAGCAAGTAGGGGGCGGTCCTCCCCTATGAGGGGCACTCTTGAATGTTCAGGGCCATTTCTGCCTGATGCTGCAGGTCGATCGGCTGCCGGGGCTCCTGGCCCGGCCGGGAGTTGGCCAGCACCACGTGTTTGATGCAGCCGGTGATTCCCGAGGTGTATTTCCCATCCGTGAGGGTCTCGGTGTCAGGGGCGCCTCCTGCGTGCAGAAAGGCTAACGCTGTGAGCCAAGGGAGCGATCCTCCAGTCCCAAGGAAGTGGGGAGGGGGCTGACCCGGAAGACCCACTCTTTCGCGCCATCCTAGTAGCCTGGGACACTGAGCCTCTGGGCAGCTCTCCGGAGATCGGGAAAGTAAGCAAGGGGGTTGGTGCCCCTTTCAGAGGGGTCTGCTAAGACCCCTGAAGAGGCGTGGCGGAGAAGGATCTCCAAGCGACCGTCCTGGAAGAACGGGGCGGCGGGCGTGAGAAGCCGACCTCTGCGTCAAATCGCAGGCGGCCTCTTTTTCCAATCAGAGGCCGATGGACACGAGGCCAACGCTGGACAAAGCGCAACCACCGGGGCCGAAAAAGCTCTTTTGGAATGGCGCCATCCCGAAGACCCCCCCCCCGGGGCTGCCTTCCAAGGCCCAAACCCCTCACCTATATAGATCCGGCCTTTGGTGTTGACCATGATATTCCGGCCGGACGATTCTCCGGTCACCACCTCCTCTCCGTCCACCTGAAGGAAGCCTCTTTTCCCTTCCCTACAGGAAAGCGGGGTCTGCCGTCAGAAGGGCAGGGGGTCCGTGCTGACAGAAACCCACTCCCCCCCAGCCCCAGCCATCTCCTCTCACCGGACAGCGGTCACCCGGTGCCACTCGCCATCGTCCACGGGGTCTTCGGAGCGGAGGTTGGCCTCTCCGCTTCCCAGCTGGTAACTGCGGAAGACATGCTGGTCAGCTAGGAAAGGCAGCCCGCCAGCCGGAGGACCTAGCGCAGGGGTCTCCAACCCCCTGGTCCGTGGACCGGCATGCCAGCAACCGGTCCGCACAAACAAGCAAAGTCCCATCCGTGGGATGCAGGCAGCACACAAAACCACACACCCTCCGGTCCGCGGAAAAACCTCTCTCCACGGAACCGGTCCCTGGTGCCCCAAAGGTTGGGGGCCTCTGCCCTAGCAGAACCCAGTTCTGACTCACCTGAACAGCAGGTGCCCCTCCTTCAGCCCGAGGCTAATGAAATCCTTTCCTTTGCTTGGTTCCCCTTCCTCCTGCGAGACAAGAGAGAGAGAGGGGAGTGTGATGCCACCGTCTCCTTCGGGGAGGCAACCCCCACGACCGCCTCCTGGCCACCCTGGGGCGCCACTCCATGCGCTGCTCCTCCGGCATGCTTTGAGCCCCCGTCCAAGCCCAGTCCGAGCGGGTCAATACCTGGCTAGCAACATGCTGCTGAGGGCCCGGCTCTCCCGTGGCCTGGAAAGACAAAGGGACAAGCAGAAGCCGTGCGCGTCAACAAGACCAGCCAGCCGTGCAACGGGCTCAGAGAGAGGACCAACCGGCGCAGCGTCTGCAGCCGCCACCATGCACTCATGCAAGAGACAGCCCAGCGCTCGGGTGCGTTTCTCGGCTCAGCAGGTGGAGGCGGAGGCCCTTCCCTCCCATCCAAACGCCTCCCTCCGGGGCAGCTGTCCTCGGTCCGGATGCTCTGGACAGCCCCGAAGGGTTGAGACCTCGCCCAGTTGCCCAGGTGAGGGCCTGTCACCACTGGGGCTGCTTTTAAGCAAGAAGCCCGCACGAACCCACCTGGCGTCGCTCGAGCTGCCTTTCCAGGGGGCCGCCGGACTGCCCTCTGCCCCCAGCCCCTCCCATCCCCGCCGTCTCTTGGCCACTCACCACCCCCTGCCAGAAAAGCAGCCCCTCGGCAGAGTTGGTCCGCACTTCCAGCTCAATGGTCTCCGGCGACTCAGGAAGACTGCAAGAAAGGAGGCCCTGATCAGAAACACTCCAGACATGTCAAACACAAGGCCCAGGGGCCGAATGCGGCCCGTGAAGTGCCCGCAAAGCCATCCTGGAAACAGTGAGGGAACGGCCCCACTGCCTTGGCCCTGGCCCAGGCCAGCTGGGAACCAATGTGCAATTTTGTGCTGGCCATCTGTGCTGAAACGCATTCAGTCCATAAGCCACCCCCCCGCATGGCCTGAGAGGAACAGTGAGGCTTCTCCAGTGAACCATGCCTTGGCACTTGCCCTGGTCCGTCCCCCCCCTTCTGCCAGAGACCCTCAGATCTGTCCCACTCCTGCCCAGGCCCCCACACGCACCCTTGACGCGAACAATGTAGAGCTGGCCACGCCCACCCAGTAGGCCGCACCCACTCCATCCACGCCCACCCAGTAGGCCGCACCCACTCCATCCACGCCCACCCAGTAGGCTGCACCCACTCCATATACGCCCACTCAGTAGGCCGCACCCACTCCATCCACGCCCACCCAGTAGGCCGCACCCACTCCATCCACGCCCACCCAGTAGGCCGCACCCACTCCATCCACACCCACCCAGTAGGCCGCACCCACTCCATCCACACCCACCCAGTAGGCCACACCCACTCCATCCACACCCACCCAGTAGGCCGCACCCACTCCATCCATGCCCATAGCCGCACCCACTCCATCCACGCCCACCCAGGGCCGCACCCACTCCATCCACGCCCACCCAGTAGGCCGCACCCACTCCATCCACGCCCACCCAGTAGGCCGCACCCACTCCATCCACGCCCACCCAGGCCGCACCCACTCTATCCACACCCACCCAGTAGGCCGCACCCACTCCATCCACACCCACCCAGTAGGCCGCACCCACCCGGCCCCCTGAGGGCAACCGCAATGCTGATGCAGCCCTCCATGAAATGGAGTTTGACACCCCTGGTATAGGGGGAAGTGCCCCCTTTCCTTCCCTGTTGCTCCCTGGTCCCCAAAATTGCCCGGCAGAGTGCCCAAAGGCAGGGCTGATTTCCTGCAACGGCTTAACCTCCCCACCCCATCAAAGTCTGCCCTCCTCCTTTGAACCCTCCCTTTGTCTCCCCCAATCACCTACGGGCCGCTTGTGCCCGTAGAATGAGGGCCCGGCTCTTTCCCAGCGCCAACCGCAGTGCCCCTCAAGACTGGGAGGGTGTGGGCAGCACCCTAACCCTCCCCCCGTTCAGCCCCCCCTTCTCACCTCCTGGGGAAAGCGTGTTTGGGCAGGGCCACGTAGCCCCCGTTGCAGAAATAGGCCCCGTACTGTCCAGGAGCGTCTGGCAGAGGGGGAAAAAAGAGCATCTGAGTCAGCTGAAGCAGCAACAGGTAAGAAAACCTGCCAGGCCAACTGGTTCCCCCCCAAAGGGCCAGGCTTACCATTTCCTCCGCTGCCTTCTGGCCATTCGGCCTTCAGGTGGTGCTGCCCTGCATCTGCAGGGCAAAGGGAGAGGCTGGGGTCAAGCAGGGCCCTGGGGAAGAGCCTCCCCCTCCCGGAGCAAAGCCGGGTTAGCAGAGCCCCTCACAGCCAGGCTGTTTAAAGCAGCCGCTTCACACCCTCGGGAATCTCCCGGCCCCGAGGCTCACCGTGTTCGCAGTACAGCCCCGAGAAGCCCCTGAGGCAGAGACAGGCGGTGCCCTGGCAGGTGCCCCCGTTGAGGCAGGGATGGTGGAGCTGGCAATGGACCTCGGGCACCTGGCAGCGTTCTCCTGCGGGCAGAGAGAGGCTCCGGTCAACCCCCTGGCAGAGCCGAAGCGGGAGGGATACCCCGCCCAGGGCTTCCGTCGGCCCTCCGCCTCACCCGTGAAGCCGTCCGGACACAGGCACTGGAATTCGTATTCCCCCGTGAGCAAGCACTGGCCGCCGTGTTGGCAGGGCCTGCGGTCGCAAGGGGAGCTGTCGGTGCACTGCGAGATGCCGCGACTCTCCAGGAAGCTGTAGGAAATGTCCACCTTTTTCCCATTGACCGAAACCTGGCAGGAAGGAAGGAACCGGAATTTGCACCCGAGGCTCCTCACCAGAGGAGCGGGCCAGGCAGGTGCAAATCTCCACCTCCCTGTTTTTCTAGGAGGACGGGAAGGGAAGGACGCGGCTGCCTTGACCTCTTGGGCTGAGCAGAGGCGGGCGCTTCCCCGCCTGCTACCGGCTCACCTCTCCGATGCACCCATGGAAGTGGCTGGAGATGTTGGCAGCTGCCGGGAGCTTGACCGAGCCCTCCACCCCTCCCAGGTAGAGAGAGGTGCGCAGGTTGAGGCCCTGACTCTTCCCGGGGGACGACCTCTTGACGGGCCGCTCCTCGTCCACCTGCAGGGTGCCGTCTTTGTTCAGGCGCTCGGCCGCCACCTTGTGCCACTGCCCCAGGGCCAGGGGCTTGTGGCTCCGGAGCACGGCGGTACCTGTGAGGGAAAACCGGCTTGGTGAATCTGGAGGGGACGAAAGCGGACAAGGAGGGAGGGGGCAGACGGTACCGGAGACCCTACCTGAGCCCAGTTCGTAGCGGAACTCCAGGTGCCCGTTGGCCATGTTGAGTGCGACGAAGTCAGCAACGGGGCTCCCGTCGCCCCCGTTGAACAGGAGGAGGCCATTGGGGGAGAGCGGCTTGACCTCGACCTCCAGGCGCAGCTCGTAAGGGTTTCGGGTGAGGGTCGGGTAGGAGATGAAAGCGTCCCCACCCAGGAAGTGGGGGGTGGTCACCGTGAGGCCTGTGGGCGGAGAAGGGCAGGGGGTTACCTGGGCCTCAGCCGGATTCCTGGTGAGCAGGGCTGAGCCTGTGCGTCACTCACCCGCCGTGCACTTCCTCCCGTGTCGGCCCAAGAGGCAACGGCAGGTGTAGCCCTCTCCGGAGGCTTGGTTCACGCAAGTGGCTTCGGGCCCACAGGCCTCTGTGGGGAGAAAGGCAGGTGGGGGGTCTACTTGGCAATGTCGGCAAGGTCCACGCCAGCCCCGGCTCTGCTCTGGGCAATCACCCTAGTTCCCGGCATGTGAGACGGAGGAGAGAATTGAAGGGGGGAGGTCTTACCTGGATGGCAGCGCAGGGCCTGGGGGTGCTCGCAGTTGCTGCCGGCGAACCCCTGGGGACACTCACATACGTAGCTGCTGCTGTCCGAGTCTCTGCAGACCCCTCCATTCTGACCAGAGAGAAGAGGGAGGGAGGGAGTGATGCAATAGCAATAGTTATAGCTATAGTGCCTAGACTTATATACCGCTTCACCGTGCTTTGCACCCTCTCTAAATGGTTGAGAGTCGGCCTGTTGCCCCTCCAACAATCTGGGTCCTCATTTGACCGACCTTGGAAGGATGAAAGGCCGAGTCAACCTTGAGATGGTCGGGATTGAACTCCCAGCAGTGGGCAGAGTCCGCCTGCAATACTGCGTTCTAACCACTGCGCCACCACAGCTCTTAATGTAACCTCCGATCAGCTACAGCAATAGTAATAGCATTCAGACTTATGTACCGCTTCACAGTGTTTTGCAGCCCCCTTTAAGCAGTTTACAGAGTCAGCAACTTGCCCCCAACAATCTGGGTCCTCATTTTACCCACCTCGGAAGGATGGAAGGCTGAGGCAACCTTGAGACGGTTAGGATCGAACTCCTGGCTGTAGGCAGAGTTTGCCTGCAATACTGCATTGTAACACTGCACCACCACAGCTTCCTTTCTTCCTTCTCCTTATTTCCCTTCCTTCTTATTGTCCCTTCCTTCCTCCCTTCCTTCCTTCCTTCCTTCCTTCCTTCCTTCCTTCCTTCCTTCCTTCCTTCCTTCCCTCTCTAAGCGGTTTATAGTCAGCATTTATGCCCCCAACAATCTGGGTCCTCATTTTACCGATCTCGGAAGGACGGAAGGCTGAGTCAACCTTGAACCGGTCGGGATCGAACTCCCAGCAGCGGGCAGAGTCAGCCTGCAGTGCTGCATGCTAATCACTGTGCCACCACAGCTCAGTGGTTCCTGGCCCACCAATGTGCCACCACAGCTGTGGGCACCATCTTTGGGGTGACCAGGATATCTGCTCCCCCAATTACGAGCAGAGGGCTACCTGGCACGGTCGGTCCTGGCAGGTGGGGCAGTGGGAGACTCCGTGGGCTTGCAGGTCAAAATCCTTGAAGATCACTTCCTTCCCTTGGATGATCAGCTGGCGCACGCATCCTGCAGGGGAAGCCGAGGGGGGCACGCTTAGAGGGCCTCTGTGCTTGGCACAATCAGACCCACACGCCTGCCCAACCGGCACAGCCACGTGCGACCCAGCACCAGGAGAGGGAGGGAGAGCGCAGTCTCAGATCCCTGGGCCAAGCGCCCGCTCTTGGCCTGTCCTCCCTCACTAGACTGTCGTTAGGGATAAGAGGTAAAGGAGGAACCCAGAACACCTGGGTCAACTTTCTCCAGATTAGCAAGTCTGGTTTAAACTCCACCCTTCCGCCCCCTTTCCCCACCTGCTGCACCCATCCCTAGACAGACACGGGACCCCCCTGCATCTCACCTACAAATCCACTGCCGAGGCCGGTTTTGGCGATGGCCGCGTAATTGGGGTACCCGCCCAGGTAGAGCTCCTCGTTGAGATCCAGGCCTTGAAACCTGCCCTGGAATGACGCAGGAGAGGCAAGCTTGGTCTGAAAGGGCCGGAAGGCAGGCCCATAGTTGAGGGGGGCTCCCTCCCTCCCCCTGGGGTTTTCTGGGGGCTTCCCCCCACCGGGCCCGGCCAGGTTAGTTGGCGTGAAGGAAGCCAGCTCCTGCCTGCCTCAGTTTCCCAGAGAGGGGGGAGACAAGCGCCTCCTGTTCTTCTGGGGGGAGTGACGCTCCGTAGGGGGGGGCTGCTACAGAGGGTTGCAGCGCAAAGGGGGGTCTTCCTTCGGAGGCCCGGCCCCTCGACTGCCCCGTCTCGGAGAAAGGAAGACCGGGCCCCTCTTCCTTCAGCCGGGGCCCACCTGGGAGCTGCCGTTCACGGGGGGCTGGCCCTCCACCGCCAGGGCGCCCTGCGTCAGGTTGCGATAGAGACGGACGGTGTGGAATTCGCCCAGTTTGAGAAGCGAAGGGTGACGGATGGTGGCCATGCCGGATCCGGCATCGAACCTGGCATTGCAAAAGAGGGGGCCGCTTCAGAGGCCCATCCTGGCTGGCTCTTTCAAAGCACAACCACCCCCCCCAACAAAAAAAAATCATTAACCAGCTCCGCAAATCTTTGGCGAAGGCTGCACAAAGGGAGCTGCAGAAAGGAGGCCACCTGGCGGACTCTTGAGCCGGGGGCACAAGTGTGGCTTGTGGGGCATCTGGCCAGCAGCTGGACCGCCCCTCCCCTGCTCCAAGGCAGCTCTATTTCTCCCCTGCCCCCCCCCCACAGGGACCCCGGCCTGACCTGAGTTCTGGGCGGCCCCCCACCAGCCCAAAGGAGAAGAAGTCGCTGCCCGTGTCCTTCTTCTGACCGTTGTACACCAGCATCCCTGTGGAGAGCAGAGGGGGGAAACTCAGGGGCGATGGGTCCAGAGATACCCCCCCTTGTAGCCCTTTGCAGCATCATGCAGGTTGCTAAGCTCAGATCCGCCATGCTCTGCCTCCTGTCCTTCCCCGGGCCCTGGGAGCCTGAGGGAGGGGGGCAACAGGTGTCTTCGGACCCCCCCTCACAGCCCCACAGGCAGGCAGAGGGGCAGCGTGGGTCAAGAGCGGGATCTGCCTGCGGGCACGCCCTCGCACCCACACACTCGCTTTCCTGGGGAAGCAACGGCTTCTCTCCTGCAGGAGTTAGCAAAGGAAGATTAGGTCCCAAGAGTGCAGCCCAGCTAACGGGAGTAAGGTAGACTGCAGCTGGATGAGGAGGCTCGGGAGCTCCCGGTAAATTAGTCGGCTTGCCAGTAGCTCAGGTGGCACACTCCTTCCCCCCCCTTCCCCCTTGCTCCCCCCCTCCCACATACACACACACACACTCCAGAGGCAGAAAGGGTTAGAAAGGTGCCTGGTGCCGGGCAGGAAGCCCGCAGTGCCCAGTAGGGGCACAACTCACCTGAGTAAAGCATGAGAGCTGGAAGGGCAGAGAGGGGGGAAAAGGGGAGGAGGAGAGGAGGAGGAGGAGGAGGAGGAGACGAGGAAAAGAGAGCTTGAGTGAGAGATGTTCAAAAGAGAGCACTCAGGACTTCCATCCGCAACAAAATGGCCACCCTCGCCCGCCCGCCCACCCTGTACCCTCTCTTACCATCCGGGGTATCGGGGCGGAAGGTGATCTCCAGGGCAAACACCCGGTAGGCGTCCTTCATGGTGGGCAGGACCAGGTAAGACCGAGGATTCTGGGTAAAATAGGGCACCACCCGCTCTGCAAGGGGAGGGCAAAAGGTCTGAGGACGGCTGAGCCCGCCGCCTCTTCTGCAGCTGTGCCAAGACCCAGGCAGGGGCGAGAGCGTCTGGTTTAGGCAAAACTGGCAGAGACTATAGCTGGCACGTGCGGAGTCTCTGCCCGGGCCCTCCTCCCTGGCTCCTCTCATGCCCCACAAGGAAAAGGGGGAGAGGAGAAGGACTGTAGGGGTCTTTGGTGCCCTCTGAGCTTGGCTGTTTTCTTGCAGACGTCTCATTACCCAGCTAGATAACATCACCAGTGTCGAAGGGAGTGAGGTTTGAAGAGAGGAGGACAGTGGGGAAACGTCCAATGTCTATTCCGGAGGACGTTGGCAACATCTTCCCGCCCACAGGGTGTGTGTCAGCCCCCGCCCCTTTGCCCCGTCCTCCGTCTCCTGGGGGCCAGAGTGGGAGAGAGAGAGAGAGAGAAGGAGGCGGGGGCCACGCTGACCTCGCACTTTGAGCATGGAGAAGGCCGTCCCCTTCCCCTGCCGGTTGGACGCCGTGCACACGTAGACGCCTGTGTCCTCCGGGCGAGCCGAGGGGATGGTCAGGCTGTGGCCTTCCAGTTGGGCATGCCGGGGCAGCTCCCCTTCCAGCTGAAAGACAGAGAGCCACAGAAACCCCTAGCAGGCCTGCCCCCCCCCCAACCAGGCCCCTCTGCTCCAGAACCAGAGGGCAGCACCCCCAGCAGCGCCTTCCCCTCCCTGCCCCCTGCCTGGGGAGAGAGGCTGGAGGGTCACTCTCGGCCAAGACCTACCTTGGTCCACTTGATTTCCGGGACGGGGAACCCGGAGGCCGAGCACGGGAAAACCACGGTGGAGCCCGCAGAAACCTCCCTCACTTCCGGCTGGGCGGCCACGTGGGGGGAAGCTGTGGGGAGATAGGGGACCCACTGTGAGCCGTGGAGAGCAAAGCAGGCAGGCCGTTCCCCGTCCCCCCCCCCCGCCGCCTAGGAAAAGGCCGGGCTTACACTGGACGTGCAGGATGACGTGGGACTGGACGGTGCCGACGTTGTTGGTGGCTGTGCAGCGGTACTTTCCCGCGTCGGCCTGCTCCACCCGTTCGATCTTCACCAGGCCTCCGCTGGCCAGCACGCCCGGGCGCAGCTGCCCGCCCACTTTGCTCCAGGTGATGTCCGGCTTGGGGTCCCCGAAGGCCAAGCACTCAAACTCCACGGCACTGCCCACTAGGACGGTCTGCACCGACGTCCGGATGTTGATCATCACTTTGGGGAGGGCTGAGAAGAACAAGAACAAAAGAATAAGAGTAGAGTAGAGTAGAGTAGAGTAGAGTAGAGTAGAGTAGAGTAGAGTAGAGTAGAGTAGAGTAGAGTAAAATAGAATACAGAATAGAATAGAATAGAATAGAGTAGAGTAGAATACAATAGAACAGAACGCAGAATAGAATAGAATAGAAAGAGAATAGAATAGAATGTAGAATAGAATAGAACAGAATATAGAATAGAATATAGAATAGAATGCAGAATAGAATAGAACAGAATGCAGAATAGAATAGAATAGAATAGAATAGAATAGGAATAGAATAGAATGCAGAATAGAATAAATACCGTATATTCCGGCGTATAAGGCGACCCGGTGTATAAGACGACCCCCGTCTTCGGCACAGAGTCGCATGCCTAGAAAGTTGTCTTATATGCCGGAAACTACCGTAATTTCCGGCGTATAAGACTCGGCGTATAAGACGACCCCCGACTTCGGCGCCGATTTTACTGTTTGCGAAAGTCGTCTTATACGCTGGAAAGTACGGTAGAACAGAATAGAAAAGAAAATAAAGAATAGAATAGAATGTAGAATAGAATAGAATATAGAATAGAATACAGAATAGAATGCAGAATAGAATAGAATAGAATAGAAAATAGAGAATAGAATAGAATGTAAAATAGAATAGAATATAGAATAGAATAGAATATAGAATAGAATGCAGAATAGAATAGAATAGAATAGACTAGAATAGAAAATAGAGAATAGAATAGAATGTAGAATAGAATAGAACAGAATATAGAATAGAATGGAATATAGAATAGAATAGAATAGAACAGAACAGAACAGAATGCAGAGTAGAGTGGAGTGGAGTGGAGTGGAATGGAATAGAATAGAATAGAGAATGGATGAGAATAGACTAGAACAGAATACAATAGAATGCAGAATAGAATAGAACAGAATGTATAATAGAATAGAATATATAGAATGCAGAACAGAATGCAGAATAGACTAGAATAGACTAGAATAGACTAGACTAGACTAGACTAGACTAGAAGGAATGAAGAATAGAATAGAATAGACTAGACTAGACTAGAATAGACAGAGTTGGAAGGGATCTGGTAGGTCATCTAGTCCAACACCCCCACCCAAGCAGGAGACCCACCCTTTCCGATAGAGGGCAGACCAGAGAAGCGGGGGGGGGGGCTCCAGAGAGGAAAGAGGAGATCCCAGCTTCCTATCTCCCACAGACAGAGCTTCTCTAGGGCCACCCACCTGGTCCACCAGCTGGCATGGCGCTTACTTACCCTGGACGGTCAGGCTGACCCTCTCCTGGGCCTGGCCGGAGGGACCCCTGACCCGACAGACATACACCCCCTGGCACTCTCGGTCCAGCTTCTCAATCCTGGAAAGAAGCAGCCACTCTGTGAATGCCTAGGAACTCTTTGCCCCAGTCTGCAGATGTCCAGTGCCATCTCCTCCTCCTCCCCACCTCATCTGCCCCACTCACCGCAGCACTCCGTTGTGGATGGTGTGAGTGGGAGGCAGCTCCCCGCCCTCTTTGAACCACTCGATCTGCCTCCTGGCATCCCCGGAAACGGAGCAGACAAACTCTGCTGTGGCACCCACGGCTTTGGTGTCGCTCTGAGGGGTGACCTGAACGGAGAGAGGCCCACCAGCACGGCCTGTATTGGGGACAATGAGAAGAAGAAGAAGAAGAAGAAGAAGAAGAAGAAGAAGAAGAAGAAGAAGAAGAAGAAGAAGAAGAAGAAGGAGAAGGAGAAGACGACACAGGTCAACGCAAATGCAACAGAGTTTACTTTATTATTTATTATTAAATTTATCTGCAGATCTGGACACGCAATAATACGGTTCTCAACCTGTGGGTCAGGACCCCATTTGGGGTCGAACAACCATTTCACGGGGGTCGCCAAACAATGCACTTTTCCCCCCCTTTTCCTTAGCTGTGCTACTCCCTTTTATTCTCTTGGCTTTTGAAAGCCAATAGAATAGACTCTCTTGAATAGAGTCTAATTCTATTGGCTTTCAAAAGCCAATCGGAATTGTCCAGGCTGTCTCTGCCCTGCTGAGCCCGCCAAAAGCCCCAGTCTGCAAACGGTGCTGCACCACTTGAGTAGTCCTCGACTTACGACTGGTTGGGTAGTCCTCGACTTATGACCGGTTGGGGGACGCGGCATTAAAAAGGTTGAGAACCACTGACCTAGATGCATCGGGCCCAAAGGCAGCTTTGCAGAGTCTTTGTAATCCTAAGATTGACCCACACAACCCTTGGGGTTTCTTTCACCAGCAGCCTACTTTTTAATCTCCCAATTCGACAGAGTTCGAGGCTAGGATTGGGCCCTTGGCAGAAACCCCCCCCCCACCGGATGCCCACTCACCTTGCACATAGACCTGGGCCAAAGCCTCAGCGGAGCCCACCCGGTTGCTGACGTGGCAGCGGTAGGTGCCTGAATCCCGGTGTCCGGCCTGGCTGAAGTGCAGGACCCCTTCTCGTACCGTAGCCCCTCCAGGGAGGCTGCCGTTCACCTTGGTCCACTGGTAGCGCAGGGGGGGCGTGCCGTGGGCCAGGCACTGCAGCTGCACCGCCTCGCCCTCCTGCACCACTGCCCGGTTGGGAAGACTGGTGGCGTAGGGTGGTACTGGGCAGAGAGAGAGGGGGTGGAGAAAGAGCTTGGAAGCCTGGACCCCAAAGCCCCCCCCCCCAAGGAAGGCACTTGGATATTATTGCTTTGACAGCACTGAGCTCTGCTCCATGGGGTTGGCCAGTCCTGGGTGCAAGGGGTCTATGTGGGGTGCCTGGCATTCTTTCTGCTTTTGCTTCCTTCCTCTCAGCCTAAGGCCGTCCAGCGAGCAGCACACTCCTCTGCCTGAGCCCCTTCCCCCCCCTCCTCCTGCTGGCACACTCACTCTCCACGTCCAGCACCACAAAGGCTTCGGTGAACCCCGCAGAGTTGCTGGCGTTGCAGATGTACTGGCCCGAGTCCTGCTGGGCCACCCGGGGGATGATGAGGGTGTCGTTCACCACTTGATGCTGCCAGGGCAACGGAGCCCGCAGCTTGGACCACTGGATGGTGGGTGTCGGGTCACCTGCCAATCCCAGCAAAGGAAGCAGCGGTCAGCCTGGGCCAGCCAGCAACCCAGATTGGCTTGGCCCGGGGTCCCGTTCCCCCCCCCCGAGAGGCTTGTCATCTTGAGGGACCAGTAAGGACCAAATACCCCTCGCGCACACACACATACACACACATCCTCGCACGCACCTGTGGCAGAGCAATGGAGCCGAGCCGTCTGTCCGGCCTGCACTGTCTGGGTCGGAGTCACGTGGATTTCGGGGACTCCTCTCCTGCCGTGCACTGCCTCCACGCTCACGTCCACCTGGGCCTCCGTGGTGCCCACGGCGTTCTGGGCCACGCACACGTAGGTGCCGGCATCCCCCAGCTTTGCGGAGGAGATCTGTGGAGGGAGAGGAGCCCACACAGTAACCTCAGCCTGATTCCCATTCAGACTGAGGAATTAAGACAACTTTGGGATGTCCATCAGCTGCCGTTTTCTCTTGAGCGTGGAATAAGGACTGGCAGTGGGGGCTCCCTACAGCAGGGGGGTCCGTGGACCGATACGGCCGTGGCATGCCAGCAACCGGTCCGCAGAAACGAGCAAAGCCCCATCCGTGGGATGCAGGCAGCACGCAAAACCACGCACTCTCCGGTCCGTGGAAAAACCTCTCTCACGGCACCGGTCCCTGGTGCCCCAAAGGTTGGGGGCCTCTGCCCTAGAGGATTGGGGTCTAAAAGTGAGAGGTAGGTAATTTAACTGCGGCCACACCAGCTCTCAATTCCTTCCGTTCCCTTCCCAGCAACTGTTACTCTAGGATACCATGCTCCTGCTGCTGGAGGCTTTATATACCCACCAGGCAGCCAGACATTATGGCTAGGTCTGGCGCCCAGGGCAACTCCCACAGACTTCCACCAGCCCCAGCCAGCGAGGGAAGGTATGGCTGCCCTTAGACTCCTCCCTCACCCACCTGCAGCACGGCTCGGCTCTCCAACGGTCGCAGCCTCTGGTTCTCCAGCTTCCTCCAGGCTCCCAGCTTGGTCCAGCGCACTACAGCCCGGGGCTCCCCGGTCGCCAGGCAATCCACGCTGATGGACTTTCCCACCTTGAGCTGCAGGGGGCCCTTCGGCACCACTGAGATGGTAGGCAGCCCTAGGAGGAGAGCGAGAGAGCAACGCCCAGGTTCACCCGGGGCCTTCGGCAGACCCTCCGCCCTGGCGTTCCGTCAGAGTCCGACTTTAGCATCGGTTGGGAGAGAACAGAAAGAGTCCTGGCCCTCGTTGTCCTAGAGCAGACATGTCAAACACAAGGCCCGGGGGCTGGATGCCGCCCACAAAATGGTTTCATGTGGCCTGCGAAGCCGTCTTGGAAACAGTGAGGGAACGGCCCCCTCCGCTTTGGCCCTGGCCCAGGCCGGCCGGGAGCCAATGTACAATTTTGTGGCCGTTTATGCCGAAAGGCATTCAGCTCCATAAGCCCCCTCCCCCTGCATGGCCTGAGAGGAACAGTGAGGCTCCTCCAGTGGACCATGCCTTGGCACTTGCCCTGGTCCCACCCCCTTCTGCCAGAGACCCTCAGATCTGTCCCACTCCTGCCCAGGCCCCCCCAGGCCCCCTTGACGCAAACGATGTAGAGCTGGCCATGCCCACCCAGTAGGCCGCACCCACTCCATCCACGCACCCAGTAGGCCACCCCCACTCCATCCACGCCTACCCAGTAGGCCACACCCACTTCATCTACGCCCACCCAGTAGGCCGCACCCACTCCATCCACGCCCACCCAGTAGGCTGCACCCACTCCATCCACGCCCACCCAGTAGGCAGCACCCACTCCATCCACACCCACCCAGTAGGCCACACCTAGTCCATCCACGCCCACCCAGTAGGCTGCACCCACACCATCCACGCCCACCCAGTAGGCCACACCCACTCCATCCATACCCACCCAGTAGGCCGTACCCACCCGGCCTGCTGAGGGCAACCGCAATGCTGACGCGGCCCTCCATGAAAATGAGCTTGACACCCCTGTCCTAGAGAGACCCTCGGCATTGTCCCTTACCTTGGACCATGACGTTGACCAGGCTGTTGGCAATCCCAAACCGGTTGGAGACCACGCAGCGGTAGGCCCCGTGGTTTTCCGGACGGGCGTTGGAGATGGTGACGGCAGAGCCGTTAGGGCTGATCCTCACGTTATCTGCGGAGGAGACCGAAGGAATTACCGGGGGGGGCAGGGCGCTCCCCAGAACCAGCACCCCCAAACTACCTGACCCATCTGCTCATCCGGCAGGGCCCCCCCCCCAAACTCACCTAGCAGCTGGTCGTTGGGCAGCTTCCAGGTGATCTCAAGGGGCGGGGTGCCTTTGTGGATGCGGCAGCTGAAGGTGACTTCTTCCCCTCCGCGCACCAGCACGCTGTGAGGCTCGATGGAGATGATGGGGCTGTGAAGACCTGCCGGGAGGGAGTGACGGTGAGCCCCGGAGTCCGGCACACCCTCCCCCCCGCCCACTTGGACCCCTGCCGGAATGCCAGACGTACGGGACGTAGGACTGGTGTTCGCCATGACAGAGACCGCGAAAGAGGCTTCCTGCGTGACGCCGCCTGCACTCACACGGCAGACGTATTCGCCGGAGTCGGCGGGGGTGAGTTGGACCAGCCGCAAGTGGGCGTTGGAGACCTGTGGGAGGAGGAAAGCGCTGCAGAACTGGGATTCCCTGATTTCGGCGTTCCCCACCTGCCCGAGCCCCCTCCTCTGTCAACGGGACCGCCTTCTTCCCCCCCATGGGGGACAGAGCCACCCTCACCTGGTGGCCCGCGGGCAACTGGCCCTCTCGCCGATACCAGGTGAACGTGGCCTGGGGCTGGCTTGGAGCAACGCATGACAGGTCCAGGGTCCCGCCTTCCACGGCGGAGGGGGAGGACGCCTCAATCCTTAGAGCTGTTGCAGGAAGGGAGGAGAGAAGGCCTACGATGAGCTAGGCCTGTCCTGCAGCAGGTCTGGGTGGCCAAAGCGGGGTGGAGAGAGGGGAGCAGAGTAGACTTACGGGGGGAGGGGGCCTCGCTATCCTGGATGGTGACCAACAACACCGCCTCCTGGACGGCGGTGGGGCTGCTGACGCGGCAGACGTACTCGCCCGAGTGGGCAGAGGAGACCTGCGGGATGCGGAGGCGAGTGCCCGAGACCTGCCCAGGAGAGGTAAGTTAGCCATCCACCCCAGTGGTGCCCCTTCCTTAGCCCTTGGCTCTCCTGCTGGCCCTCCATCCCCAGAGAGGAACTGGGCAGGCTGAAGGTCGAGGATCGCCACCCTCGCCCGAGTGAAGCAGCAAAATAGGAGCGCCTTTCTCCTCTACCTGGTGGTTGGGGGGGAGGGGTCCCCCTCTCTTGAACCAGGTGATTTTGGGATGTGTCTGGCCAGTCACGACGCAGTTCAGCTCCAAGGTCTGCCCCTCGGCGAGGGAGGAAGAGGAGGATTCGATCCGCACCGGCGGAATCACTACGGAAGCTGCAGAGGAAGAGGAAGGGGAAGGTGGTACCCCGTTGCCGGGCTCCCCAATTTCCTCTCTGGCCAGGAAGAGGCCTGCCACAAACTTCCCGGGCACCTACTGTGTGAGCTGCTGGGAATGGACACGATGATGGACGTCTCCAGTCGGCTGGTGCCGTCGTTCACGTAGCAGACGTATTCGCCCGAATCGGCCGCCGAAACCTGTGAGATCCGGAGGCGGGTTCCGAAAATCTGTTTGCCAGGGGAAAAAAAAGAGGAGACAACCAAGCGCTGATTTTTTTTAATTTTTTTTGTAACCAACTGGAGCCATTTCCCCACCACCATCACCATCCTTGGATTTCTCAAAGCCTCGGCTTCCATTTCTTAAGGCCCCAAAGGTTACGCCAAGGCATCCCAGGGGAGCCTTCATCACAATTAAGACCAAAAATGCATAACACGCGTCCTAGAAAATAATCTCCAGTTAATCTTCTAGAAAGAGCGCAGAGAAGAGGGACAAAGACAATCAGGGGACTGGAGGCTAAAACATATAAGGAACAGTTGCTGGAATTGGGTAGGTCTAGTTTAATGAAGAGAAGGACTAGGGTGACATGATAGCCGTCTTCCAGTATTGCAGGGCTGCCCCAAAGAAGAGGGAGTCAAGCTATTCTCCAAAGCACCTGAAGGCAGGACAAGAAGCAATGGATGGAAACTAATCCAGGAGAGAAGCAACCTGGAACTAAGGAGAAACTTCCTGACATTTAGAACAATTAACCAGTGGAACAACCTGCCTCCAGAAGCGGTTAATGCTCCAACACTGGAGGTTTTTAAGAAGAGACTGGACAACCACTTGTCTGAAATGGTGTAGGGTTTCCTGCCTGAGCAGGAGGTTGGACTAGATGACCCTCCAAGGTCCCTTCCAACTCTGTTATTCTATTCTATTCTATTCTATTCTATTCTATTCTATTCTATTCCTACTATTCTATTCTTTCCATATTCTATTCTATTCTATACTATTCTATTATATTCTATTCTACATTTTCTAATTCTATTCTATTCTATTCTCTATTCTATTCTGTTCTGTTCTATTCTATTCTCTATTATATTCTTCATTCCCCTATTCTATTCTATTCTATTCTATTCTATTCTATTCTATTCTATTCTATTCTATTCTATTCTATTCTATTCTATTCTATTCTATTCTATTCTTATTCTTATTCTTATTCTTATTCTATTCTGCATTCTACTCTACTTACTTACTTACTACTTACTTACTATTCCCGTTTGCCCACAATCACAATCCCCACTTCCTTTCTATCTGGATCTCCAAAAGCCCTTACCTGACTGTGGACGGGCAGAGCGCCCTCGCGCTTGTACCACATGACCCTGGCTTGGGACTGGCCGGCCACCAGGCAGTTCAGGTCCAAGGTCTGCCCCTCCGAGATGGCCGTGGAGGAGGTCTCAATCCTGATCGGAGGAGTGACGCCCACAACTGGAAGAACCAGGGGCAAGGAGAAAAGAGGGATCCATTTCAATGGGAGGAGACACCCTCCCACCCCATGGAAAAGGCAATCACACCCTCCAGCCCAGCGCCCGCGGGACGGGGAGGGGGGGAACTTACAGTAGGAGCCCGTTTCGCCCTTGATGGTCACCAGCAGCGAGGCCTCGTGAACGGCCGAGCCGTGGCTGACGCGGCAGACGTACTCCCCAGAGTCAGCTGGTGAAGCCTGGGGGATGCGCAGGACGAAGCCGGAGACCTGGGGAGAGGGCAGCCGAGGGTGAGCGGAGATGGGAAGCGGCTTCCGGGCCACCGGCCTCCTTCTTGTAGCCCCTCCTGGCGAGCCCCCCGTGAGCAGGGCCATACCTGGTGGCCGACAGGAAGAGCTGCCCCTCGCTTATACCAGGTGACTTTCGCCTGCGGCACGGAGGCGGCCACGATGCATTTGAGGTCCAAGATGTGGCCCTCGGAGGGCGAGGTGAAGGAGGACTCGATCCGGACGGGGGGGATCACCCCGGAGGCTGCATCGGTCACAAGGAGAATAAAGGTCACCAAATGCCCCCTCCCCAGCCAGCCAGCCAGCCAGGGAGAAGCCAAGCCTTGCAGAAGCCCCCCACCGTTCCAGCCTGCTCTCCTCTCCCGAGCTGAACCAGGTGAGGCAGATCCTTTAAAGCAGGCCCTTGGAGGGCTTGTGGACTTCAATTCCCAGAATTCCTCAAATGGTCCTAAGCCACTTTTTTTCAGGGCTGTTGTAACTTTGAACGGTCACTAAATGAACTGTTGTATAAGTTGAGGACCACTGGTATTTCCTCCGTTCACTTTTTCACGCTGCCAATCTTTGCAGCAGCCATCCTGGTTCAACCATGTACAGGTGTACATCCAAAGCTATTTCTCTGTGTCATAGAATATATGTGGGTATGTGGGTGTACGGGTTTTTTTTGTTATATTTATGTAATGTATATTGGAGGTAGTGCCCCTTTGAGAGCTGTATGCAATGAATTTTCATTTTGATGTATGCTGATTGGTGTACATTTAAAGGGACAATAAAGTTATTTCTATTCTATTCCTATTTCTATTTATTTCTATTCTATTCATTCCATTCCATCTTTATTCTATTCTATTCATTCCATCTTTATTCTATTCTATTCTATTCTATTCTATTCTATTCTACTCTATTCTGTTCTATTCTACTCTATTCTATTTCTATTCTATTCCACTCCATTCCATTCCATTCTCTATTCTATTCATTCCATTCCATTCCATTCCATCTCTATTCTATTCTATTCTATTCTATTCTATTCTATTCTATTCTATTCTATTCTACTCTGTTCTATTCTATTCTATTCTATTTCTATTCTATTCCATTCCATTCCATTCTCTATTCTATTCATTCCATTCCATTTCTTTTCTATTCTATTCTATTCTATTTCTATTCTATTCTTTCTATTCATTCCATCTTTATTCTATTTATTTCTATTTCTATTCTATTCATTCCATTCCATCTCTATTCTATTCTATTCTATTCTATTCTGTTCTGTTCTGTTCTACTCTGTTCTGTTCTATTCTTTCATTCCTTCTATATTCTACTCTACTCTACTCCACCCCACCCCATTCCATTCCACTCCATTTATTCTATGCTATGCTATGCTATGCTATGCTATGCTATTGTCAGAATCCAATTATATTTCATCTTTAAATTATCAAATATAGAAACTCCCAATTCTGCCTTCTCTGGATTCTGCCATAAGAGGGAGAGAAGGGGGAGAACAAAGGGGCTTTATGGCCCTCACTTCCTTCTTTACACTTCAAAGAGCTAAATGCTGAATGTGTGTTTATTGTAACCTCGAAGTGTTAGCATACCAAAGGAGAGTAATTGCCTTTCATGTAGTTATCTGAAGTCTCCATCCAGACGGAAGAAAGAAGAAAGGGAGTGGAATTGTGATACTTGAAACTATCACTGGAAGGGGGGTTGATTGGGTGGGACTACTGGGGAACCCCTTAAAACCTTGAATGGGAGAGCTTGGACCCCAAGTCCTGTCTAGCATGCCTGCAACCATTTTCTCTTAATAAAGGATTCCTGTTGGAAGAATTATTCCAAGAGTTCTGTCTTCTTAAGATGCAAAGTGGGGTGGGTCCTTACAGCTATGCTATGCTATGCTATGCTATCCTATTCCATTCTACTCTACTCTAGCCTACATTCTCTTCCATCCCATCCCATCCCATCCAATTCTAATTCTAATTCCCTGACTCCTTCCCTCCCCGTATGAGCAGCTTCAAGAGAAGGAAGTTCTTACGGAAAGTGGGGCTGCCCTCCTGCTGCTGGACAGTGACCAAGACGGAGACTTCATGGCTGGCAGCATCGGAGCTGACCCGGCAAACATACTCTCCGGAGTCGGCGGGAGAGACCTTGATCAGCCGCAGGCGAGTTCCCAAGGCCTAAAAGAGGGTGGCATCCTTGTCAGCATCCCTTTAAACCATCCTAGCTCTGCTGGCTATGAACTTCATCCCGTATGGATTTATAGATTTTACACGGAGGAGGGAAAAAAACAACGATTCTAAATAAAATAAATAAAATAATGAAAACAAGGGCCTTCTTTTGTATTGGGAGCGAGGTTTCCAAATCCTTTGTTGGGGAAAAAAAAAACCATTATTATTTAAACAGCAACCTTCCCAACTCCACTTTGCAGAATTGCCCACCGTTAGAATAGAATAACAGAGTTGGAGGGGACCTTGGAGGTCATCTAGTCCAACCCCCTGCTCAGGCAGGAAACCCTACACTATTCCAGACAAATGGCTGTCCAGTCTCTTCTTAAAAACTTCCAGTGTTGGAGCATTCACAACTTCTGGTGGCAAGCTGTTCCACTACTTAATTGTTCTAACTGTCAGGAAGTTTCTCAATAATAATAATAATAATAATAATAATAATAATAATAATAATAATAGTAATAATAATAAAGTTGGAAGGGACCTTGGAGGTCATCTAGTCCAACCCCCTGCTCAGGCAGGAAACCCTACACCAGTGCAGACAAATGGCAGTCCAATCTCTTCTTAAAAACTTCCAGTGTTGGAGCAGTCACAATTTCTGGAGGCAGGTAGTTCCATTGGTTAATTGTTGTAACTGTCAGGAAGTTTCTCCTTAGTTCTAGGTTGCTTCTCTCCTTGAGGAGTTTCCATCTGTTGCTTCTTGTCCTGTCTTCAGGCGCTTTGGAGAATCGCTTGACTCCCTCTTCTTTGGGGCAGCCCCTGAGATACCGGAAGACTGCCATCCTGTCCCCCCTCGTCCTTCTCTTCATTAGACTTTAGAGCCATATCCTCCCTGCTTCTCCAGCTCCTATCTCGGAGGCAGACACAGCTCAGTTGATCCACAGTCTGAGGCCAGGCCTAGTGAGTCAGACTTTGGAGCCACTGATTCCATTTCCCTAGCGGCAGCTCTGGGCTTCAAAGTCCAAAGAGCGTTTTCCCAGCTAGGCTAAAGTGCTTTGAAACTGGAATTGTGCCCGAGAGCCAATTTGGGGCGCTCTGCGGGCAAGGGGGTGCCTCCGAGACTGTGGCCCTAGTGGCCCCAAAGTTGTTATCCAGTTGCACTCCTTAGGGCCGTCATGCCTGTACCTGGTGATGGGCTGGCAGGGCTTCACCCCGCCTGTACCAGGTAACCATGGCTTGCTCCGGGCGGGAAACCACGCAGTCCAGCTCCAGCGTTTGTCCTTCAGCGATGACGGCCGATGAGGCCTCGATCCTCACGGGGGGAGCCACGCCAAAGGCTGGGGAGAGCAGAAGGGTGGTGAGGATCCCGCCAGCCCCCAGAGAACCCTGTTCCCCCCCCCGGACTTCCTGCGAGGATCCCCACACCTACTGGAGGAGCGGGTGCGGGAGACGAGGACGGAAGCTTCTCGGGTGAGGGAACCCACTCTGACGCGGCAGACGTATTCCCCAAGGTCGGCCGGGGAGAGCCGCGCGATGCGCAGGTGGGAACCGGAGACCTGCGCGTTGAGGGAGCAGAAAGAGGCAGTCAGCGCACAGGTGAAAGGAATGTCGTAAACCCCCTCCCAGGGTCTCTGGACCAAGCTGCCCCCGGCCCCGAGGGGCAATCATACCTGGTGGCCGGCTGGCAAGGATCCACCTCGTTTGTACCAGGTAATGGTGGCGCTGGTTTGGCTGGCCACAATGCAGTTCAAGTCCAAAGCTTCTCCTTGGATAATGGAGGGTGATGAAGGCTCAATCCATAGCGGGGGCCCGACTCCTCCCGAGGCTAAAAGGATAGGAGGAAGGGGTTGCCCATCAGCTGGCAGACATCTCCCCTCCTGCCAGCCCTCCCATGCCATAACGAAAGCGTGCCAACCAAGTTGTAAACCATGTCCCTCCAAATGTAACAGTCTTTTGTTTCTAAGAGTTATCCATTCTTTGACCCATCTTAGTACAGATGCTTGATGGTATAAAACCCCCTCTGGCAAGCCCAAACCTCCATTTTCCTTGGCTTCTGGTAGCATTTTTCAATTTAATTCTAGCTTTCTTTCCTTGCCAAACAAATTTCAAAATTGGTGAATTTAAATCTTCAACAAAAATTTTCTCTAGTTTTATAGGTATCATTTGAAATAGAAACGGTATTTTTGGTAGTATGTTAATTTTCATCCTGGCAATTCTTCCCAACATCGAAAAATTGCAAGTTTTCCCATTTTTCCAGGTCCAGTCTTATTTGGTTCGATAATTTTATATAGTTATCTTCTTTTATCGTTGAACATCTTGCTGTTAAATACATTCCCATGTATTTAACTATTTGTAGTTCCATTTTTTTCTGACCTTTTTTTTTTTGCTCATCTGTGAGATTTTAAACTGTCACTTTAGCTTTTTTCTCTGTTTATCTTCAGACCTGCTACCTCTCCATAGTGTTCTATCTTTTCCAACAATTTAGGAATCCTCTCTAAACTTTCTTCCAAAATAAATGCCAAGTCACCTGCAAGGGCTTGCAATTTGTTTCACCTGCTATTTCTAGCCCTTTGATTTCTGTATCTTGTCCAATGTTTCTGTTTAAAACTTCCAACGTCAAGATAAATAAATAAATAACAAGGGAGACAGTGGACATCCTTGTCTTGTCCCCTTGTCCATGAAACCTGGCTCAAAGGGGAGAGCTGGAAATGCCCCCTTGGGTTCCCCTTGGCCTTGGCCTGCCTCCTTTGGCCCTTCCCATCCAATGAAACGTGCAGGTTCCGGATCCTAAGCTGGGATCTGAGCCTCTCAACTCACTTTGGGAGCTGCTGTGCACAGTGATCACTTTGGAGGCCTCTTGAACCACGCCGCTGTCACCGTCCGTCACCCGACACACGTATTCGCCCGAGTCTGCTGCCGTGGCCTTCAGAATCCTCAAATGGAGCCCAGAAATCTGAAGGGAAAAAGGGGGGGTCCAGAGATGGGGTGAGGACCCGGCCCGCAAAGAGAGGAAGAGGGGTACGCTCTAGTCATTCCCGTACCTTGCGATTAGCCGGGAGGGCTCCTTCCCGCTTGTACCAAGTGACCCTGGGCTGCGAGAGGCCGGTGACCTGGCAGGTGAGGTCCAAAGCCTGACCCTCGGTGATGGACGAGGAGGCAGAGTCAATCCTGACCGGGGATGGCCCTGAGC